TGTCTATTCTTAGAAAGGCAGCACTCACGTAGAGAAGCAAACTTTTTACTTTGGAGATTTACTGCCTGGGGTTGCGAGAGGTGATTTAGTAACAGGGAGCACTTTTGAGGCACGATAGGACAATCGCCCTGTGCTTAGCGGGTCAATAAAGTCTTATGGCTTCCCACAAGAAGTAATTATTAACCTGAGTACAAACACATTAACCATTTTGTGCAACTTAAACTCTATGTTCGGCCTGTCTGTGTCAGCGTGTTTTGGTTGGTAGCACTCTCACGTCTTGAGTCAGAGGCTGTGGGTTCAAGCCCCATTTTGAGACTTTGAGCTCATAGTCTCGGCTGCGCTCCCGGTGCAGAACCGGGGTTTGTGAGGGGGGGGGGGGGGGGGGAAGGTGGGGCTGAGGGAGGGAGCGTTACATCAACTGACTTGACAGTAAATATTCTGTGAAGCGCTTTGAGACGGGTTGAAAGACGTGATAAGGCGCCCATTTACTGTGTAGAAGGAATTCAACAAGCAGTGACCCATACACTGAGGAAGAAGACTGTGGCAGCGGGCGGCGGTGGTGGGGTGGCGGGGGGAGGGGGTGCAGTACGGAGAGGGAGAGGAGGGGGAGGGAAACACGAATGTCAGCCAATTGCTAAAACCATTCCGCCCCGAATTCAAAGCTAAACAGAGCACAGTTCCCAGCGTCAGTGACCGTGTAGGAGGTTAGAATGTGGTCGCCCTGACTCAGATCGTGAATTAATACGGCAGTTTCCAAAACGTTTCTGAAAGCCCCAAAGCAATACATGTTTGTTTGTTGTGCGACTCGGATCAATTATTTTTGGGGGGAGTTTAAATGAAAATCAACCTCCAAGACGGGAAGAAGATCGAAAAAAAAATGGGTAGAAAAAAAATGCCTAAGAAATCGCCCTGTAATCTCTCTGGTAATTAATCCACCGCTGTTAATTGCACTGAATGCAATATGTCTCGTCAGTAAGTTGTTGAAATTCACTGATTAAAAATTGCTTCCCACCCACTTTTTGGTGGTTTCACTGCACACCCACTTGCTTTCAGTCTCCAATATATATTCAGAGCAAACTCTTGGTTGCCCGGATAACATGCATTATTTGTCACTTTGAGCCTCACTTATCTTATAAATTAAAAAAATAACAATAATTTGGTCACTCAATCCATGACTGTTTGTGGGCCGCCGCCGTGCGCACTTGGCTGCCGGGTTTTCTACTACAAAATACACAGTCAATTCACTTTACAGTCTATTCTACGAAGCCCTTTGAGACGTCTCGAAGACATGATGAGGCGCTATATCAGATGTGAGGATTATTATCATTACCTCAGCTGTCGCCGTGTTTCATTCCAGCTTCCATCGAAACGTAAGCAAGTTGGCGCACACTCACTCTTAAGCTTTCCAACCGCTTTTTTCTGCAGAACTAATGTACGAAAAAGAGTGTTTTTCAAAACTTGTCAAAGACTATTTGCACCGGTGCGCTGTGCCCACATGGGCTGCTGCGTTCACGTGACAAAATACAGTCACTACACTCGTGTGAAATGCTCTGAGGCGCCCTCCTGACATGTAAGTGGGATGTCCTGCTGCTGTGAAAGGCGCTACACAAATGTAATTTGTTGTTGTTGTTGTTGTAAGGTGCAAATAAGGTGCTTACCCTAACCCTAAGGTCAAATATTATTATGGTGGACAGAAAGAGGGAGCGTCAATAAGACTCACGTGGACTCGGACAAACTTAGATCAATCTCTTGTTGTTTTCTGCCAAACCTCAGTGGATCTCTTTCACAGAAGTCACTTGAGGAACTGCAGCTTTCACTTTGTTCCTGGAAATCACTTCCACACACTCTGGGCTGCGCCTATTTTACAATACTCTGAAGGTAAAGCAGAAGTTGGTGCGTAGCAGGCAGACGCCAGCTGGGCTCCAGCTCGGCTTCACTCAGCAAATCTGCTACCGAGCAAGGTTTCACTTCAGTTAGTTTAATAATAGTTTCAATAACAACTTTCGAAACGGGAATTTGATAGATACTTGAAGAGGAAAGGTTTGGAAAGATGTGGGGAAAGAGCGGGAGAGTGAGACTGATTGGGTGGCTCTTCCAAACAGCCGGCACAGGCACAGTCACGATGGGCCGAATGGCCTCCTTCTGTGCTGTAAGGTCCCGTGGCCGCAGTGTTGCGTCGAGTCTAAAGCTAGGCTTCATCAGCAGAAGTCCAGGGTGTGTGCCCGTGACCGTGTCTGAGCGTCTGTTCACTGTGTGCAAAGGTTAACCTGCCTGACATTGAATATTTGGAATACGGTAAACCTCACATAAGTGTATCAGTTGGGACCATAGAATTAAGAACATAAGAATTCGCTGGGCAAGAGAAGACCAAGGTCCATCTTGTTCGCCTTCCACCATCCTGTCAGTCACTTGATATGTCGTGTCCCAACCATACACGTGATTGATCTCAGCGCTTTGGGACGTGAAAGGCGCTCTGTAAATGTAATTTTGTCGTTGCTTTGTTGTTGTGTATACTGTATCCCCGAGATATTGTTTTCTAGCAGAAACCTTATCTAACTTGTTCTTGAAACACACAACGCTTTCCGCTTCCACCGTCTTGTCTCCCTAGGGAGCCTGTTCCATAAGTTTACTACTCGCTCACTGAAGTCGTGTCTCTGCAGATTTGCTCAGAATTTACCCCCCTCCCTGCAATCGCAGGCCGTGTCCTCTGGTTCTACCGTTCAGCACAATATAACTTATGCAAGGTATGAGTTATGTCAGACTTGCACAGGATACAAACTCTTGAACAGGACTTGGACAGACGTAAGACTTAGGGATTAGATGACTTATAAGGATCAGACGGCTGCGAGTTTTGCTGTGTAGACAGAACCTCATAAGGGGGAATGCCGACATGTACCTGTGAAACCCCCACATGTTGTGGAGGAGTATTATCAGGTATAGACCATGTACGGGGGAGTGAGACATGAGGTCAGCTCTGTGAAACCTCCATGTATGGGGAGGATTGATAGCAGACAATGTAATCTGCAGCTCTGTGGCATATTTGTAGCAAGGAGTAGCTCAGTGGTTAGAGCACTCGACTCGCAGTTGAGAGAGCTAGGTTCGATTCCCGGGCAGGGCGAAACGTTGGGCAAGTTTCCTTACTCCACACACACGCCTCTGTTTACCTAGCAGTAAATAGGAACCCGGTTGTTGGTCGATTAGTGGATCGCTTTACCGGGGGTAATAATTCCTTCAAAAAAAATTGATCGCTCAATCCACGACTGTTTGTGGGAACCTGCTGTGCGCAATTGGCTGCCGGGTTTCGCCCACAAAATATAGTCAATTTACAGTGTGTTCTGTGAAGCGCTTGGAGACGTCTCGCAGATGTGATAAGGCGCTATACCAAAAGTAAGATTATTATTATTATTACCCACAATCATTGAATGTAACAAGGGATTTTACAGCGCAGAAGGCCCATCGTACTCTGTAAGATATTACCCGCTATAACATTCTATGATTATTTTACTTTAAAAGAAAGTTTAGCTTTAGTTTAAAGCATTTTGATGATCATTTCCTCCTCGTGCACATTCCTCCAACTCCTGATTCTCCATACTAGCTATTAAAAAGAGAGATATTTGAAAAGGAGAAATATGAAAGGGTTCCGGGGAGGGGGAGTGTGGAGTGTGGAATGATACTAAGCAAAGATCTGCTTCAGTCAGATGATTTCTGTCTTTTTGTTCGTATGTGTCTCTGTCTATCTTTTTGTCTGTGTCTGTTTTTCTGTTTGTCTCTGTCTGTCTTCTCTCTATCTGTGTCTGTCTCTCTCTCTCTCTCTTAACACCTTTCAGCTTTTTTTGCTCGTCTTTCACTTCCTTGAGTCTCATTCCGTCGATCTGATTGTCTATCTCTCTTTCACTCCATTTATCTCTCTCTCTCTCCCTCTGTGTCTCCGCTCAAAAAAAAAGTACCGTGTCATCTTTGTTGGAAAATATCTTGTAACCGTGTCAAACATGGGAAATCAATGTGTGTGTGTGTGTTATCTACAAAGGAAAAGAAATCGTAAGATTTTCAGATATAAACGACACCACAGGACACCGTGGGAGGTGTAAGCATATCGGAAGAAGCATTACACTGCACTTTTTAAAAGGCAGGAGAGATATCTGACAAACTTTGAGTGTAGTGTAGACAATCAAACCAAAATGAGGATGGTGCGCTCACCTGAGAGAGGTGGCCTTTACGTTAGTCTTCACATGAAAAGAACTTGCTCAATTCAAGTCTTCACGGCAGCAGATTAGATTGCCTTGAAAGGTCAGAAGCAAGGGAACATTGTGGTGGGGTGGGGGTGGGGAGTCACAAATGTGTTACCGTCTTTTAATCTTGAAAAACAAATTTGGTCGCTCGATCCACGACAGTTTGTGGGGACACCGCTGTGCACAATTGGCTGCCGTATTTTGCCCACAAAATATACAGTCAATTCACTTTACAGTGTGTTCTGTGAAGCACTTTGGGACGTCCTCCCGACGTGAAAAGCGCTATATCAAATGCGAGGATTATTATTATTATTATCTTGAAGACGTGATAAGGCGCTATCTCAGATGCAAGGATTATTATTGTTATTAATAATCGCCTCAATGTCCTGATTGCTATATCCTTCCTTCTCTCCCCAACTTCAAACCCCTCTTAACAAGTCTTCAGCCAAGCCCCTGAACCTCTTGCCCCTCGCCTCCCTGCTCAGTGCTCCCCTCACCTCCCCTGCTCCTCACTTACGTGAAGCATTTAAAGCCATAGGAGCTGCTGTTGCAGTGACCAATTGGGCCAAACTGAAGGACGACTTCGTATAGACAGGAGCGTCTTTAAGTGCAGCTGTGTGTGATTTACAGTGTGACCTCTCGTTCCATCTCCAGTGCCAACTTCTCACACCTCCGTCCTCATCACATCTCCCTCCTCACCACACCTCCCTCCTCACACCTTCCTCCACACCACACCTCCCTCCTCACACCTGTTGCCTCTCTCTTCTGCAGTCGCTGACATCAGAAAGGCGGAGGAGGTAGGCTCTGACACACACGATGACGACAAAATGTCCCAGACCGAGGGGGACGAGATGAGGAGGGAGTTCAACCCAGTCAAGGCATCAGAACACTTCTCTGTCAATTGCTGGAGTCCGGAGAGGGAGGACAAGGGTGAAAGAATGACAGAAACAGCTCCATGTAAGTTAACAACAACAACAAGACGATTACATTTGTATAGCGCCTTTCACGTCGGGAGGACGTCCCGAGGCGCTGATGCCTTAATGGAGGGGGAGGGAGGTGGTGGGAGGGGGGAGGGGGCATGTCTGAGGTAAGGTCGTAAGCAAGCAATAATAATGAGAATCCTCGCATTTGATCCAGCGCCTTTCACGGCGGGAGGACGTCTCGAAGCACTTCACGGGATTTACAGCAAAGCGTAGTGACTGTGTAATTTGTGGGTGAACCCGACAGCCAATGTGCACGCAGTAATGTGCAGAGGTGGAACATGCCAGTCTCTCGCAGGGACTATTTCAATGTGGGAGGGCACGTCTTAGTCATCACGAAGATTGACCTAGAGATTGCGTCCCGACAAGCGATCACTCCGATTCTCCCGGGACGTCATCCCGACGTGAAAGCCGCTAGACAAGCGTAATTTGTTGTTGTTGTTGCTGTTGTTAATTCAGTGGGGAGAAGGGGGAGAAAGTTTGCTGGCAATGAGTTATCTGTGTCAGAAAGAGAAAACGCCATCAGGCCGAGTGAGCGGAGACTGGTCCCGACACAGCTTACTCAACTCACCCACTCGTTTGAGTCATGGACCCTGTGGCTTTCCTAAAACAGAATAAAATGTTTGTTCTGTTTGTTGTTTGCCAGAGCCAACGTGGGTTAAGATGTTCGCAGAAAAACAGACGGACCTCCTGGGTCCGGAGTCTGGGAAAATCTCATCACAATGACTTGGGGTTAACCTCAGTTCTCACTAAATTAGTGGTGTGTAAGGCTATGTGTTTATACTCAAACGACTTCTGTGAAGTTACTCAGACTGGAAGGAGCTTGTGTACTTTTTAATCAACAGGCTACAACGAGCCTACTTGCCGTCTGCGTTTCCAGAGATGTTAAATCAATGTCCCGTCTGTGCTTGTCCGTCCGGTTGGAAGTGAAATAGTCCTGGGCACTATTGGTAAAGAGAAGGCACTTTCTCCCAGTATCCCAACCCGCAGATGAAATTGGTTGTTCACTTCATGTCTGTTTGTGGGACATTGCCATGCGGACGCTGGCTGCTCTTTTTGCTTAGAAAGCACAAAGCCGCTACGCTTTACAGTACATCCAGTGAAGTGTTTTGAGACGCACCTCCAGACGTGAAAGGCCTGGTACCAAATGCGAGGATTATTATTCTATTATTGACTTGACTGTGATAACATCACGGTATAACTGGGCCAGATAGGGGTTAAAGAACAAAGCTTTCAGCTACTGACAAGATCCTCTCACTCGTCCACAAATCCCTTCCCGCCCTGGCACCTCCCTGCCTCTCTGACCTGCTTTCTCCCCACTTCACTAATCCACTCAGCTGTCTCCGGCCTCCTGCCTGTCCCTCGTCCCGTCCGCTCCACCATCGGCGGCCGCACTTTCAGCCGCTACGCCCCGAAGCTTTGGAACCCTCTCCCCCGATCCCTCCTCTGTCTTGCCCCCTCCTTCCCTTCTTTTAGAGTGCGACCGAAGACCTTCCTCATCGACTGTGCTTATGGTCACCTTCTCCCACCCCCCCCCCCCCGCTCGGCATCAGGCTCCACCGCCGTGAGGCTCTCCGAGATGCTGCCCGGCTTGAAATGCATGTTGTTGTTGTTGAATACTGGAGCTGATGTCAGTCTGCTTACTGTCCGCTCAGGCCCAAACGATGAAGGAAGGAGAAACGATGAAGGAAGAAGAGAGAACACTGAAGACAGGAGCCCAATCAGCGAGATGGACTATGACAAGCACAACGGGGAGTTCATCACCTACCCTGAAGCCACTCTAACCAGGGGCTTCAGCCCACTCTCCGCAGACCAGCAGCAGAACGGTAACTCATGTTTTCGCTTAAGATTCTTTTTGTTGCGCCTCCTATCAGCCTGACCTGGCTTCATGGACAAACACGCAGTCACTACACTTGACAGCGAGTACTGTACTGTGAACTTCTCTTCTGAGCAAACACTTTGGGTTTGAACGCCCCATTCAAAGGAGGAGAGCTCCTTCAACAATGCAGCGCTCCCCACAATTCAGATGTTCAAGGCTGAGGTTTGTTAGGTCAGGGTATCAAGGGATTATGGAGCAAAGGCGGAAAACTTTGCAGGGGTATGGGGAAACAGTGGGGGAGTGGGACTGATTCGGTAGCTCTTCCAAAGAGCCGGTACAGGCATGATGGACCGAATGGCCTCCTTCTGTGCTGTAATATTCTATGATTCTATGAAATGGAGTTGAGGTACAGATTAGCCGTGATCTAGTAGAATGGCGGAACAGACTCAAGGGGCTGAATGGCTTCCTCTAGTTCCTATGTTCTTAATAAACACACTGACCTGGCCTTTGGTGTTTTGATTCCTCAGCAGTCACCCCGGAGAAACGCGACGCCTTTGCCCAGCTCCTGACGTGCCATTACTGTGAGCGAGGGTACAAGCGGCTGACCTCGCTGAAGGAGCACATCAGCAATCGGCACGAGAGGACTGAGGGCAACTTCTCCTGTACCCTGTGCGGCTACACCTTCGCCTACCGCGGCCAGCTGGACAGGCACATGGCACTTCACAACTGTGCTCTGGATCAGGTGAGACCTTGGCGTCCTGCAATAGAACCACAGAGAACTTTGGAGTCCTGAGTCCTGTAGCTTAGTGGTTAGAACATACAGGATATTAGAATACATTAGAATATACAGGACAGAAACAGGCCATTCGACCCAACTGGTCTATGCCAGAGTTTATGCTCCACATGAGCCTCCTCCTGCCCATCCTTTCTCCCTCATGTACCTGTCTAGCTTTCCCATAAATACATCTGTGCTATTTCCCTCAACTACTCCTTGTGGTAGCAAGATCCACATTCCCACCAATCTCCGTGTGAAGAAGTTTCTTCTGACTTCGTATTTGATCTATTGGTGACTATTTTATATTTATGGCCTTGAAGGAGGACAAGGGAATAACAACTCTTATAAGCATTACAGACAGTCCGGAGACGGGCGCTGGGCGGGTGGACAAAAAACTACCAGCACAGGCAGTGGAACAAAGATCTCGAAAGAGTTTTGGACGGGAACTAGACAAGTTCCTGGAAATGAGAAGGTTTCCAGAGTTACTGCAGAATGTGAGAATGTGTGGAGGGAAATCTTCTGTGAAACTGGAAACTGGGTAGTGATTTGGACCAGTGCTCCATCCCTTTAAAGATTGCTAAGTTCCTGACCATCGGTGACTGAAAACATATGCTTCATGTGTTATAACAATAATAATCCTTGCATTTGCCATAACGCCTTATCACGTCATTGAGGTGTCTCAAAGCTCTTCACAGAATATGCTGTAAAGTGTAATTTGCGTGTGGGCAAAACGCGGCAGCCAATTAAGCGCAGTGGTGTCCTATAAACAGTCGGGGATTGATTTTTTTTTGGGGGGGAGGGATTATTAGCCCCTGGAAAGTGATCCGCCAATTGACTATCAAGCAGGTTCCTACTTACTGCTCGGTAAACTTGCCTAAGGTTTCGCCCTGCCCGGAAATCAAACCCGGGTCCTCTTGCTTGCGAGGCGAGTGCTCTGACCACTACACTACGAGACGCCACGAGTCCAAATATTAAAATTTTGCCCTCTGACATCTACAGTTTCAAGTATTTCATACATTAAATCCATCCATTTATTTTGCCTCACCACCTTCTTTCTCGCCTGAACCCTTGTGCTATTTATACCCAACATTTGAAACCTGTTTCCTGTCTACCACGGCAGATAATGAGAGACTCACAGTCGAATCATTTCCAAATTTCGCCCTCTGACTTCTACAAGTTCAAGTATAACATCCTTTAATGTTTCGACTTTGAGTGACCGCAAATTACAGCACTGGTTTCCTCGTTAGAGAGAGGGAAAAAGAGAGAGAGGGAGGGAGAGAGAGAGAGAGAGAGCTTTATGCTGATGTTTTTGCTACGTTACAGAACGAGCTTGTAACGTGAAATGAAATGGTTAAAATTAAGATATCTATTTGAGATCCTACACTCTTGCCGGCTGTAAAGTAGGTTTGTTCTAGCCACTCTTGCACAGAAATTTAGGTGTCAGTCTGTGGCTTACTGGGTTTGCAGTCTCTCGTCTCCAGGTAAGTAGGTTGTGGGTTCAAGCCCCACTTTGAGATACTGCCTTGGATGAGCTGCTAAACCAAGGACCTATCTTCATGTTCAGGTTAAAGATCCCACAATGTTATCTGAATTAAGAAGAGAGTTTCTCCCCGTCACCGAGCCAATAATCTTCCAGATTAGTTGGTCGTGCAGTTCAAAGCTGTTTGCTGTGCAAAAATTGGCTGCTGAGTTTGTCCACAAACACAGGTCACAAAAGTTGACAGGAGTTGAGATGTTTTGACTTTAGAGGTCATATATCAAATTGAAGGATTATTATTATTTCAGTCTCAATTAAGCCAACTTTAAACTCTCCACAGGTCCATCTCCCGCAAAATATATAATCACTACACTTTACAGTATATTCTAATCAATCTCTCCCACCTCCTCAATCAACCATAAATTCACGGCCTGTTGTTTTATCATATAGGGTCAAGTGCTGGGTGACAGTGCTGGGATCCGCAAATTCAAGTGCACCGAGTGTGGTAAAGCCTTTAAGTACAAGCACCACCTCAAAGAGCACCTACGAATTCACAGCGGTAAGTGCACAGGCGTAGAGAGACGTCAACACCACAGGAGGCACAAACAGAGATATCAGTAGCAAGCTGTGTGGTTTTAGCTGGTCAGACTCCAGCAGTTATCCCCGATGCACTCTCTGGGCTCGCACAAGCCTTGGCTCTTGCCAACCTACGCCTAATACTTTCCGGAATTAGGAGAGCGGGAGGCGTCCCTCCGAGGAGAGAGAGAGAGAGCGCATTCCATTCCAACAATCTCTGGAATTTCCCTGTGTGGGTGATTTAGTTTGGTTTGGAGACTCGGTGATGGGTTTCCCCCTGTGTCAGACACCCGTCTAACCAAAAGAAGAGGCGCAGTGAACCTTCCTTGTGGTGTGCAAATTGACAGCCTACAAGAAAAGTTACTGCATCTGACAATGATTGTAATGTACTTCGAGATGAGCTTAATTAAGGTGCTATATAAATTGAAGTCCTTTTTTTTAATATATATTCATCCTCTGCTAATAGATGTCTGAACCAGGCTCCCTCTCCCACGTCACTGAACTACTGCAAGTGATATTAATAATAATCCTCGCATTGCAGAGAGTGTTGAGGAGCCTTAAATTCGACATGGGCTGTGGAAGGAGCGAGCTGTCTGACTCTTAACTCAAACCACATCTCTGGCTCAGATAGCTCAAGCCTTCACGTCCGTAAAATAACGATCATTTAATTTCTAATCAACCTCATTCTGAGGAGCACTTTCGAGGCCTAATGTAAATGAACAACAACAACAACTTGCACTTATATAGCGCCCTCCACCCAGGGCAGCATCTCAGAGCGCTTAACAGTGGCGGAGCCCGACTCCGAGCCAGGGGGAGGGGTGAGGTGGCCAGAAGCACGGTCGAACAGGAAGGTCTTCAGGCAGGACTTGAAAAAGGGGAGAGAGGGGGCAAGGCTGAGAGATTGAGGGAGAGCGTTCCAGAGTTTCGGGGTGTAGTGGCTAAAAACGAGACCTCCGATGGTGGGGCGGAGGGTGCCTACAAATGTAAGTCGGGGCCTGACCTTACCATTCCGGGTCTCTGTGTCTTTTACAAAACAGGCGAGAAACCTTATGAATGTCCAAACTGCAGGAAGCGATTTTCCCATTCCGGGTCTTACAGCTCCCACGTAAGCAACAAGAAATGCGTCAGTTTCCCTTCCACAAACAGCAAGAAGCCCAGCGCCGTTAAGCCAGTCTCGTCCACGCTGATATCCAGTTCGACCGCCTTATCCACGACGCCATCCAGCCCGAGTGAGGACAGAATGGATCCGCTCAGGAGTAAAGGCGAGCCATCAGATTGCAAAGACCTCAAGCGGTTGGATGGATCACTCAAGTTTGGTGGCTGTAGAACACCCATCAACGGGAGCTCTGATCCTGGGAACCTACAGTCTATTAACCATGCACTCCAAAGCCAATTCCAGTATTCGGGCAAGATGGATCCTTCCACGACGACCAGCAGCACTGCACAAAACATCCTTAGGCTGATGGACAGCATTCTCATACGTAGGAAGATGGAGGAGAAACACGAGGCACTGGCAAGCGTCAGAGGTTGGAACGGAAGCGGCTCTGGATTCAGGACTTTAATGAACGAAGGGCAAGAGAGTCCGAGTCCGCCTTTCCAAACTCCATTTTTAGGCTTTCCGTTTGTGAATCCCAACGGCGGAGCGAAATCCGTCCTGAACTGCACGCTGGAGAGATACAAGAATGATATTATGGATGGCTTGGACCTGGGTCAAGAGGCGAACAAGGGTCTGAGCTTGATCACCCGGGTGATTCTGCCTTTCTCCGGCCCGGACGATTGCTGCGATGAACGGCGCCAATGTGACCGCTGCTGGCAGCGGTTCACCCAACCCATCGAGCTCTACCAGCACCAGAAATACTCGTGTCGACCAGCTCAGGGCTACAGCGGGGTCAAGCAAGACTCCGCACTGCTCTTCCCAGCCGGGGAGAATAACATACCCACTTCCAGGTCGTACCGCCTGCCTTTCGGTGACTACTACGGCAATGTCAAGGAAATCGCCAGAGGTGAAAAGGCACCATTTCACACTCTCACCCCCAATAACTCCTCCCAGGACTTTCTGAAAAAAATAATCGAGAAGAGGCACTTTGATCCCAACGAAATCCCTGTGTCGGAGGAAGTCTGTGAAAAACTATTGATTTTACAAAGCACTACTCAGGGATCTTCAGATTCCCCCGTCCAATGTCCAAGGCTCCCTTCGAAGGCTAGGGTAACGTTGTTGACCAAGGAACCAAATCGTTATGACTCTCTGCTCAGGTCGAGAAGCTGTGGGGTTTCATCTTCCGACAGCACGAGAGAACAAGACCTGGAGATGATCACTTCGCCATTGAATCTGACTTCTTCAAAGGCTTCCTTGAGGATCTCCTCAACTCCAGACAGCGTCTCGTCTGAAGAAACTCAGGTGGAGCCATTGGACCTGTCATTACCCAAACACAAGCGAGACCTCAAGGACAGATTCCCTGCAAAAGGCCAGGCCAGTGAGTTGGGGAACAGTATTTCAGACCAAATGGAGAATGAAAATGCATTGCAATCTGCCTTCTTAAAGATTTCCTCAACAGGTTATGCTACAGTCAACACCTCAGATAAAGATACCAAAGAGGTATTCGGTTTCCATGGTTTGAATGCCAAATCCTTGTACACCATGATCCCACTTGCAAGTACGTTCCCGCCCAGTGCCTTTCTTTCCTCCTTCCCTGGTTTCCAGCACCATCCTCTGAATGGCATGAGCTTCCCTCTGCATCGTCCCTATATATCGGACAATGACCTTCAACCGAAGAAGAGCGACCAGCAGGAACAATTCATTCTGGTAAGACCTGCTTCTATTCTTCTCGTTCCTAGCTGGTGCAAACATGGTGATCAAAGCACTGGTCAGGTGTGGTATTATATGTTATGCACAGTATTATATCATGTAATACACAGTGGGATATATAATACACACAGGAATGTTACACCCAGTGACACACGATGTGATATAGAGTATACAGAGGATTGTTACACCCGATAAGACAAGGCCATCAATATAATACATACAAGAGCATTACACCCAGAAACACACTGTGTTACTAAATTATGGCCTAGTAAAATATCACAAAGGTATTTTGTTGGGTGTTTGTTTCCCTTGTTCTTCACCTTCCTCAGGAAATGAAGAATTCTAATGAGTCCATGAAAAGTTTAATGGAAAGATTCAGACAGGATGCTTCCCACCTTGCCTGCCCCACCTATGGCGGGCGGATCTTCAGCCTCTCTGTCCCCACCCTCTGGAACGCCATCCCACAGTTCCTCCGCCTCGCCCCCTCCCTTGCCTCTTTCAGCACCTGTCTCAGGACCCTCCTCTTTGACCGCGCCTTCGGTCACCCTCCTACCCCTACCCTCCCCACCCTCCACCCCTCCTGATCCCAACCACCAGCTCGGGTGCGGATCCCTGACTGTCCAGCTCCTGTTGTCCGCCTGATGTGAAAGGCGCCGTGTAAATGTTATTTGTTGTTGTTGACACAGTACAGGGTGTGGATACAAAACAGGGTGTGGAAACATGTGGAATCTGACTAAGTTTGTGTCCTGCTTGAATCACAGGGAGAGCTCCTCAGAGCGACTGCGCCTCACAACAACTTGCTGGCGATGGCCGAAGAGACAGATTTCGAATCCGAGCCGAGCAGAAAGCGACTTCGGAAGACAGAGAGCGGGATGTATCCTTGCGAATTGTGCGACAAGACATTCCATAAGAGCAGCTCGCTCCTGAGACACAAGTACGAACACACAGGTGGGGGTGAATTCAATATCCTGTACTCGCTTTTGTCACCTTTAATTTCCCTCCCCCTCCCACACCGAGATTCTCGTGAATCAGCAGGACCACCCACGCCTTGTTGTTCCTGTCAAGGCAATTTTTGATGAATTTTTGTTTTGCCCATCAAAAATTTCCACTAGTCGACCGCAACCACGACGACAACCGCTTGCATTTACATAGCACCTCTCAGGCAGGGTAGCGTCCCAGAGCGCTTGACATTCAGGGTTTAAGTGGAGGGTATAGCCACACAATTTTAGCTGAAATGGGAAAGGTTAAGACTCCAGTGGCTTCATTTTCCACCTCCTGGGGCCACTTAGCGGTAGGCATAAACCCAGCAGGACATTACCCTGCTTGAGGGGTGCTATGTTTATCTAAAAAGATGCCTCCATTCCCAATGAAGCTCTTTGGGATGGTCTAACGTTATATGAGTGCCATATCAAATGTGAGGATTCCTACTCGGAGTACCGTAGCTTAGTGGTTAGAGCTCTCGCCATGCAAGTGAGAGGACACTTAGGCAAGTTTCCTTACTACCTAGCAGTAAGTAGGAACCCGGTTGTTAGTTGATCGGCAGCTTGGTTTGCCGGGGGTATTAATCCCTTCCAAAGAAAAAAATAATAATTTTGTCCTTCAATCCACGACTGTTTGCAGACCCTGCTGTGTGCAATTGGCTGCTGCGTTTCGCCCACAAAATATATACAGTCAATTCACTTTATAGTATATTCTGTGATGCCGTTTGAGACGTCTCGAAGATGTGTTAGGGCGCTAAATCAAGTGCAAGGATTATTACTATTATTATTATTATCATCACTCTTATTGTCTTGTGTTCCTCAGGCAAACGGCCCCATCAGTGCGAGGTCTGCAATAAAGCCTTCAAGCACAAGCACCACCTCATTGAGCATCAGCGGCTCCACTCAGGAGAGAAGCCCTATCAGTGTGACAAGTGTGGAAAGCGCTTCTCCCATTCGGGCTCCTATTCCCAGCACATGAACCACCGCTACTCCTACTGCAGAAAGGACGAGGAGGAAGCAGGATCAGGGCAGCCTACAGTGGGCGCCATAGGATGGGGAGATGTCCTTGCCAATGAGGCGCAGGGCAAAGAGGGTCCTGAGATCAGGGAGGCTGAGAGAGGAGATGGGGAGGAGCATGCGAAGGGGGCGCCACAGGACACTGAAGACGAAGAAGAGAGTGGCTCCAGCCAGGCCCCGAGAGATAAGGAGAGCACGTCAGTGGAGGGGAGCTCAGTGGGCGATGAAAGCTCATAGGCAGAGAGTGAGAAACAGAACCATTCTGTTGACACTAACAAAACTTTTGACTGTTCCTGATTCAAAGAACGACGTGCCACTGGGTGAGGGAAATGGTCTCTCACATTCTCTCCCTCTCTCTCTAGATGGCCACTGGCTATTTCCAAGACCTATCTCTCCATGAATAGTCAGTAAATGGGTCACCTAAAGCTGAGAGATGCGCTCAGGGTCCCTCAAGAACAAGCCTGGCTGGTAGAGAGTTAGCCCTTTCAGTCTTAAGTGTGAGACAGAGAGAGAGAGAGAGATGGAGAGAAATCATTTTCATTTTATGTTGCAGGTGTTCTGGGGAGGGGCTCAAGGCAAGCAATTCCCACAGAGGAATGACTAACACCAAATGATGAGTCTCGTCATCAAATTCTGGTACCGTTTGGGTTTTTGCACAAAATAAAGGGTTGAGTTGACATTCTCTGCCCAGGGCACGGAATAGACTCCCTTAGTCACACACATGCATTTATAGGTTAAAGCTGCCCAGCCTGTGTGTTCAAGGCTCAGTCGGACAGTCATCAATCTCAGGGTGGATTACAAATGGGCACAGAGGGAGGGAGGGAGGGAGGGAAAAGCAACAAAGAATAGCAAAAGACGCTCATTAAATTTGACCACTCCAACCCCAGTCCAGCCTCAACAGAAAACAGGGGCAAGGGGCTGTCAGAAAAGAGCAATTCAAGGGTGACGTCAACGGGGAGCGGTAATCAAGTCACGTAAACAGTATTATTAGCTGGTTAACAGGACTGAATTTTTCTTTGCCAGAAAAGTATTTTGCTACAACAGTGCAATTTTAGAAAAGAAAAAAAGAAAGTTTATTCTACATGGGTTTTTGTAATTTTGAAAGGACTAAGAATGAGCGCCCCCCGTTTTCAGGGGTGATGTTATTAGTGATCTTATGATGCTTTTATCGGTGTCTAAAAGGCGAGATCTTCAGCAGTGGTCTTGAAGTGTTTGCAAAGCTCAAGTCCTCCCGGGAACTCTGCTCTGACCCACTTGGAAAAAAGAATGGAACGGATTCCGAGCTCAAGTGGTTTGTGTGTGAGTGTGTGTGTGTGTGTGTGTGTCTCACAAACGCAGAATGCAGTAGCATTCAATCTTTGCAAATTCTGCACAGAAGCAGAACCAGCCTCCAACTCTGCGAGAACATCTCAAAGCACTTCGCAGGATTCACTGTAAAGTGTAGTAACTGTGTGCTTTGCAGGCGAACACCTCAAGTGTATTAGATCTCGGTGGATCCCAGTCCCCACCCCAGTCAGTGTACTGAGACTTCTGTGCTCGAGCGGGAGATTCTAGGTAAGGAACTTCACAGGGATAATTTTCTCATGAAAGTATTACTATATATATATGTGTGTGTATATATATATATATATAAACACTCTAGAAAAACCTGAAATTCCATGTACCTAGAAGCCCATTTTATCTTAAAATTTAAGATGGGGCAGAACTGCACAACCTTCTTAAATTAACACCTAATTTGGAAGCTAATTTGGTTTTAAAAAGGACCGGCTTCCAACTGAAGAGCTTTTGCACAATTCTGCACAAGGTTAAAGTTTAAAGCGGAATAGTCTTAGACTCAGCTGCATGTCAGGACTGACATTCTAATATTTCTATCCCCCCCCGCCTAAGTTACAACAACAACTTACATTGCCTTTCACGTCGGGAGGACGTCCCAAGGCCCTGGACAATTAGGGATTTGGACCTGCGCTGGGGGTTGGGATCAGGGAGGGTAGGAAGGGCAGGAGGGTGGCCGAAGGCGTGGTCGAAGAGGAGGGTTTTGAAACGTGCTGTGAAGGAGGCAAGGAGGGGGCGCGAGGTGGAGGCACTGTGGGGTGGAGTTCCAAAGGGTGGGGGCAGAGAAGCTGAAGGGCCAACCCCCTTCAGCTGATGGGGTGGGCCGGCGGGGCATGTGAAGCAGGCTGGAGAATGCTGAGTGGGGGGAGTGGACAGGTTGATATGGGGTTAGCAGGTCGCAGAGATCGGAAGGAGCAAATCCGTTACGCTTAGCTTTTGGAGTTGAATTCTGTGGGGTGGGGAAGGGGGAATGAAGAATTTATCCTCCCAACAACAATGATGTTCATTTATATAGCGCCCTTCACGGAGGGTAACATCTCGGATCGCTTTGCAATGACAGGATCAGACACAGAGAGAAGAGGTGGCCACAGACATGTTTGAAGAGAGATGCTTTGAAGTGGGACTTGAAGACAGATAGAAAAGGGTGAGATGGATGGAGTTACAGAGGTTAGGGGCTTAGAATGTGAAAGCTTGACCACCGATTTCTGGGGTGAAGGTTGGGTGTATGTGATGCTCCCAACAACAACACAGCCTCCTCCATGTTGGGCAACATCTCGCAAGATCTCAGAAGGCTTCACAAGGATGGGGGTCAGGTACTGAATGAGGGAGAGAGTGGGGGAGGGGAGGGAGAGGTGACCATAGGCACGGTCAAAGAGGGAGGTTTGAAAGCAGGACTTGAAGACAGATGAAGAGGGATCAAGACAGAGAGGTAGAGGGAGCGAGAGTTCCAGAAGGTTTAGGGAAGTAGAACAATTCAGAGCTCCAGGTGGCACTTTTGAGGCAAAGCTTCATCTGATCTGAGGCACAAAATTCCACCTAGTGTTAGCCTGCAAGACCATTTTGTTTTAAAAATCGCACAGGATGGTGGAATATTGTTAATGCCTTAACTCCAGTAGGAATTCCAGAAGACTTGACTGTAGCTCAGATGAAGGCTAGTGAACAGAAAACTTGGATTGAATGGCCTTCCACGGATGGGCAACTCAAGGAGGTGGGAGGCGGAGGGAGAGGAGGAGATCGTGCCAAGAAGTTGAAGAGGGAATTGGATGGGATACAGCTCTTAAATGAAGAAATGGATTGGAGGTTGAATGAGATGGACTTTTTTTTTTAATTATGTTTTGCTTTCGAGTTAGACCAGTAGGACTGATTGCAATAATCTTTTCTGGTTCTGTTTCATTCCTAAAGCTCTTCTACACAGGAATCAGGGTGACTGCAACATTCAAATTGGTGCTTCAAATCACACGGCGGCCACTGGTTTAAACTTTATCGTAGCTTGGGAGAAAATTTCACTTTTGTTTAAAAAACAATAAAAATGTTATGAAAATTATTTCTTATTGTCAACAGACGCGAGTGTAAAATAGCCACAATGATGACAACTGTGCGCTTGGGTTATTGAGGTGCTCGATGGTCAGTCACTTTCCCTGCGGGGGGGGGGTGTGTGGGGGCGGGGGGGGGTAAGTGTCTCAGTGCTTTGCATGAGAACTCTCTGCTCGCTCGGATAGGCCATCCGAGTGGCGTTCGATCTCTAAGTCATCAGGGATTCGATTGTTGAGAATGGCAAAGGGATTTGTAAAGGACGCAAAAGCAAAAACGGCCGACAGACTGAATTGCTGGACGGACACCCATCTCGGGGGTGATTTCCGTGAAGAGAAGTCATTGCCCGCAGCGGTGTTCCAGAGGGTTGTTTGTGACACAGTGGGGATACAACTAAAATGTGGAACGAAACAAATGGCCCCAGAAAGCCGTACGGGGAAGAATCAATTGGGAAGTTTAAAAGGGAGATAGATACACATTTGAGAAGTAAGGAGATGAGTGGGTTTGGGGGGGGTGGGGGTGGGTGGGTGGCGGGGAGAGAAATGAGCGGTATAGGAAGGGTGGACACACCCATAAATGAAATGAATAAAATCCTTCATACAGGATAGCATCTCAAAGCGGTATCGACACCGGATAGGACCCGTTGGGGCCAAATCGGCTGTTTTTGTATTGTATCTAATGGATCGAACCACCTTCTTCGATCTAATAAGCTGCAGAACAGGCTTGATGGGCTGTTTCTACGACACACCTGAGATTCTCCAGTTACAAATCCTCTTTGCCAATCTCACAAATTATATTGCCCGATTGTTTAAATGTTTTCACGTCGAACATTGACTTAGTAAACTTGTGTTTGTTAAGCATTACCGTCTCAGTATTACTTTATAAGAAGCTGTCGCTAACAAACTTAGCCAGTGAATTTGTGTCATTATCTTTCTTTTTTTTGCTGAATATTATTTATTGATAAATGCCATATACACTAGTCTAGATTTGTTTGGAAAAAGTCATTTTAAAAATGTATTTTTGTTGCGGTTTTGAAGCACTTCTGTGTTTGTTTTTCCAAAAATATTTTTTTTTAAAAAAAACTAAGATTCAATTTCAAAAATGTCAAACACTTTATTTTCGGGGGGTGGGGGGGGGGGGGGGTGGGGAAGGGGTTTTCTAAAAAAAAAAGTGTATTTTTAAAAGCTACCTGTTTGTACAACAATAATAATATAATAATCCTTGCATTTGATATAACTGCTAGTCACAGCAAAACACCTCAACCCGCTTCACCGTTTTTCTGTGAACTGGAGTGACTATATTTGTGGGTAAACCAGCAGCAACAAAAAACAACTTGCACTTATAAAGCGTCCTCCACGCCGGGTAGCATCTCAGAGCAACCAATTTGTGCCTCGCGAAGTCCCACAAACAGCCAAGAAGTAAATGTTCGATCTTTTTGGCAGCGTACAATAGTGTTGTGTGCAATCACTTTGTTAACAAGTCTTGATAAAAGTATTACGGAAAGAATTTCTGAGTTGGTTTTAATTTCTGTCTTTTGGATTATTTATTCTCCTGTGGGTTTTTTTTTTAATGCTCCTCAAACGGAGGATTATCAGAAGTGTGGACAGCAACAACAACAACAACTGGTGGACTTCATGTGGGGTAACGTCCCGCTTGACAGTGGTGGAGTCTGACCACGAGCCTAGGAGAGGGGGGAAGCATCTCGAAGTGGTATCACCCTTCGAGATGCTTCCCCCCTCCTCTGGTCATAAGCACGATCAAAAAGATCTTTAGGCGGGATTTAAAAAGTGGGAAGGGAGGGGGGCAAGGCGGAGAGATTGAGGGAGAGTTTCGGGGCGTAGTGGCTGAAGGCACGGCCACCGATGGTGGAGCAGAGGGGACAAGGGACGAACAGGAGGCCGGAGCCAGCCGAGCGGAGGCAACGGGCGGGGAAATGGGGATGGAGATAAGCAAATCAGATAGGTAGATGCTAGGGAGTGAAGGGATTTGAAAACGAGTGAGGGATCTTGAAAGCAATCCATTCAGTAATTGGGAGCAGGTGGAGGCTGGCAAGGACTGGTGTGATGAGGAATAGTCCATCCAGAAACAAGCTCTAGCATGGGTTACATATAGAGTGAAGCTCCCTCTGCTAGGGTGATAGGAGCCAGGACACTGGACTCATTTGCAAAACGGCTTCGGGGGAAAAAGACAGTAGGGCTGGTGTTCTGGAGGGATGAGATTGGATGGACGAAGGGCCTTCTTCATCCAGACCAATCTTGTAGATTGCTGCCTAAGGCCCGGGTGGGTGAGGTTTCAGCACGGTTCATATTCAGTATCTCTGAAATTTTCAGTATTATTTGCGAATCAGATGCTCTATCAGAAGAGCAAATGAGCAGGATTAGAGTAGAAAGCTCCAGTGGGAGAGTGAACACAGGATAAACTCAATGGGGGCGGAAAAAGAGAGCATGGGTATGGAAACAGAATTCAAATTGGATATCTACTCTTGACTAATGATGGGCCAAATGCCCTGCTTCAGGGTTGCAAATCTTGAATGAAGCTCTATACAAGTAACGGTTTCAGTACAGAGTTTCACCAGCGCGAGCAAGACGACCAAAAGCCCCGTTTGCTTTCATTCCCACCGAGTGCTTTCTGTTGTGCTGTGGTTTCTGGTTTCTACCTGAACGTGCTCTTTACATGAAAACATAAGGTCCTCACAGTGGTGAGTGAAACACCCAGTTTCCTATTGCAGCAAAGTGGGTGTTCAAATCACCACATCAAACCCTGGCAACTGCCTTGATGGCAGAAGCTGTTAAGTAAAAAAAAACTAATGTTGCCGAAGATTTATAGACCAGGGAAGGAAGTAATTTAGCACACCCGTGAGTGCATTCATTCGAGGATACGTCCCACAGATACAAACACACACATTACCCAGCACAAGATGTGTTTCTTAGTTGATCCATCACCGTGTTTTCAGCAATCCAAATCAGACAGCGTTCCACATACTGAACATTTCTGTGTCTGGGCTTTCGCCTCAGAGGGACGCATTCTGCTTACCTAATTCTGGAGGGTATTTGTGCAGGTCGTCAATAGCCAAAGCTTGGAGAACCCAGAGGGGTCAGGGCAGTACTGAAATGCTGCATTGAGGGAGGTGCCATCCTTTGAATGAGACAATCCCAACTGGTTGTCCTTCAGTTGGATATTCAAGATCTCATGACACCATTGGGAAAGAGAAGATATTTTGGCCAACAATCCTACAGGTAAACCACTTGTTCACCACATGGCCTGTTTCTGGGATATGTGCGCAAACTAACTGCTCCATTTGCCTACAAGTGCAGAGTTGCTTCACTTGACTGACAGCAATTATCTGTAAAGCGCTTTGAGATATTTTGACATTATAGGCCCTGAGTCAAATGCAAATTATAATTATTTATCTCAAAGGGAAGGAGGAAGATATTGCTGTATTCTGCCTAAAAGTGCTGAGACTTAGTAACGTCAGCACCAAGGTACTGAGCTCAGGTCTATGTAGACAAGAATTGTTTGTGGGAGACAGAATGGAAATGTGAGTGACAGAAACATAGGTCGAAAATATTTGGCACCATTTACAAAAATAAAACTCATAATCAAAAAGATCTATTAACACGTCTGGATTTACAGTAAGAGTCCAGACAGAAGGAACTATTTAGTTAAGTTGTGAACCCCACCTTTACTGCAAATTAGCAAGTGGGTGAGTGAAGAAAGCAAGCCTTGAGAGAGAGAAAAGAAAAATAAGAGAAGGGAGGGAGAAATGTAGGACGGAAGGAAGAAAGAAGAGAGGAAAGGGACAAAAGATTTGGAGAAAGGAGAGAAAAAGGGAGGAAAGATACATACGAGAGAGAGAGAGAGAGAGACACACACACACACACGCAAGAGAGAGGGTAGGAAGGAAGTTGCAGAGAGAAGACTGCTTCTCAGTCAGAAAAATAATAATAATAATTTAGTCACTCAATTCACGACTGTTTGTGGGACGCTGCTGTGTGCAATTGGCTGCCGGGTTTCGCCCACATAATATACAATCAAAATCTGTGAAGCGCTTTGAGACGTCTCAACGACGTGATAAGCTGCTGTATCAAATGCAAGTGCTGTTATTATTAGATTTCACATTTTGGAACATTGCCTTAACCAGACAGAAATAACGTGACCTCAGACCAAGTGGCTCACCAGACCCACACAGTGGAACTGGACGCTGAATTAATACTTGCCTAACACGCTCTTTCCTGTTTGTACTTTCCCCTGTGCTGATCAACCAAAATGGACAAACTCCTTCAGAGGTGAAGTTGCAGATGGTGCTGTGACACACTGGTCAGTGACAGATCAAGCGACTGAGTACGTTCCTGTGCAAATGTTCAGCTCTGTCGCAAGACGCTCAGTTAACCTTTCATCCACCTACGGGGATCAAAATAGTATAGGACAACAGCGTTGATAGAGTTAAGTTCACTCAGACACGATAACCCAGATGCCCTTCACCAAAAGGTGAATCACATTTTTGGGGGAGGAAATGTGCTAAGATATTGCAGCCCTGAAACACTACCTAGTCTCAGCCTGTACGACCACATCTTTATTAAACCGGGCTACGGGGCGGGATTGTGGAAAATTCTTCAATCTAATCTTCTGGGTGTCACACAGAATCAACTCTCGGGGAAATGAGAATGCACGATTAACGTCTTCATCAACGGGATGAAATTGCCACCTCTTTATACTGACGTTAATATCAGTGACGAGGCTCAGTGTGGAGTCCCGTAGTGCAGTGGTTAGCACGCTCACCTCGCAAGCGAGAGGACCTGGGTTCGATTCCTGGGCTGGCAAAACCTCAGGTAAGTTTTCTTACTCCACGCGACTCTGTTTACCTAGCATTAAGTAGGAACCCGACTGGCGATCGCTTTCTAGGGGTAATAATCTCTCCCTCCAAATTATAATTTGGTCCCTCAATCCACAACTGTGTCGCTGCTGTGCGCAATTGGCTCCCGCATTTCGCCCACAAAATACACAATCAATCCACATTACAATATATTCTGTGAAGCGCTTTGAGACATCACAACGACATGATGGGGCGCTATAGCAAATGCAAGCATTGTGATTTATTATTGTAAGGTTTTAACTGCTCCTAGGCAAGTGACCAAACCGCTGTTGATGGTATAAGGTTGTTAAATTGCTGGTAATTCGAACAGTTAAGAGACTCAGTTATCAGATCTCCCCCAGCAGGCGACAATCTGCAACCTCGGCTATTTCTACAATTACTGATCCACAAGCCACATATGAAACCGTTTACATTTTACAACCTCTAGCGTTGCAATTAAAATAAAGTAATCACGCCACAAGATTGCAGGCGACATATCCCTGGGAATCTATGGGAAACAGGATTAGATCCAAGAATCTGTCACTAGAGGCTACTCAGGCTCCACTGTTTTATTTTATAGGGGCCAAAGTGGAGAGAGCGAGCTGGTGCAATGAGGTTCTGTAATATAGAGAGTTGCTTCGGAAATGGAAGATGTAAATGCAAGTATCATCTAGTGGTAAGAAAGAACAGATCCTCTAATGATGTCTCAACGTACCTTACGGTAATTACTGTCATGTGTAGTGACTGGCTTTTGCAGGCAAAGGCGGCAGGCATGTCGTAGAATACTGCAAGACCCCACAAACAGCCAAGTAGACATCAACTGAATAATCTGGAGATCACCAGCCAGAACACTGGGAGAAACTGCCTCCTCTTTTCCGATAGGCATCCTTAAAATCCACCCAAAGACAGAATGATATCACACATCAGAACAACAACAATTTATGCAGCGCCCTTCACGTGGGGCAGTGTCTCAGAGCGCTTAACAGTGGCGGAGCCTGGTGCCGAGCCAGGGGGAGGGAGGAGGCGACGAAGCATGGTCGAGGAGGAAGGTCTTCAGTCATGATCCCAAAGAGGGGGAGGAGGGGGCAAGGCGGAGGGAATGGGGGTTGAAAGTTCCAGTAACAGAGCGAAAAGCACCTTTTTAGGAAACGAAGCAAACTATTTTCAACCTCGAACTAGTTTTCTTTTTGGACTATTTATTGTGCCAAATTATTTTCATTGGCAAATGAAGATATTCCGTTAAAAAAAAATTTGACACACATTTCCATTTTTGTTAAAATCTATATTTATAGGCAAATACAAAACGCGGAAGTCAACATCTTGAGGAATAGAACTTCACAAAACTTTTACAAACACCCGTTTTTTTTTTGAAAAAGTTATATCACATTGCATTTTTTTAAAAAAAAGAATCAGTCAGGAATTTGCAAGATGAACGTCGAGTGAAATACGAGGATCATGGTAAGAGAGCGAGAGAGAGAGAGAGAGAGAGAGAGAGAGAGAGAGAGAGAACGAGAAATGAATTTGGGGCGATAAGAAAAGAAACAAGAATTTTGCTGTGAACAATTATGAACTCGCTCACGTATACATCTCATTAAACATTTGGCTCAATGCTAAGGGGGATAAAGAAGATAAAAGGATGTTAAACCAGGCAATTCATGCTTTATCCTGTCCCACCCTCCGACCCTAATTCCTCCCCCACCACTCCTTCCCATCTCTGAAGGAGTCTTTGGTTTCTTGGTCGCAGTGGAGATAAGACCAATGGGGTCTGGAATCTGAATTTTGCTGTTTGCTGACCAGTTGGCCATTCACCGCTTAATCTGATCTGCTGGTATCACAATTTTTTTTAGAAACCTCGTCACGTTTAGATGATGACTTTTTATTAAGAGTTCATTCGTGATTGTTCCCGCAATCGGGCTCCAACTGAACACTTCAGTGGGCTTTATTCAAGTAGGCAAGACACATTCCCCCGTCTATAAATGTAACTCAACTGTTGAAGTAGTTTATGGGTATGAAATACTTACTCTGCTCTCCATGGTTAGGAATAAACTCTTTGACAAGACACTTGTCTTAAAAGACGCATAGTCTTTGGTCTTCCTTTCCCCCCTTCATCCAACGCCTACTCACCTACCCACCAACTCAAACACCCCCCACACTCACACACACAGACCCCACCCCCACACAGACCCCACCCCCACACACATACACCTCCCACCCCCACACACACCCCCACCCACACACATGCACGTGAACATACACAGGCCAGCAAAGGAATGAGACAGAATCACATAATGAGCAATGAACATGTCCAGCACCGAGCTTACTGCCATTCCAGTCACATCCCACATCAGCTGAACCATTTGACCAGAGGGGCCGTGAACACCAAAACCTAAAGATCCTGGGGTTAGAGTTTTGCCCAGGAGGGAGGAAAGCAGGATTCAACAACTTTTCCAGCAAGTTATGCCTGAAATCCCCCTACCTCTGGATTCCCAGAAACAGCCTCCTGAGCGAGCGAGTGCCACGTGACAGACGAGATTCTCACCTTTTCATTGAATCCTGAGCGACTGTGGCTGAGGAATCCATAGAGGAGCAGGGCTTACCAGCTGCTTGCGATCACCCTTTGTAACTGGATCAGTCCTTGGTGCCAAGCTGATAGCCAACACAGTCACTGACCAACCTTGCTTCGTGATCAGCAAGCAGGCCGCCTGCTCTGTGGGTAACATGACCACAGTTTGCCTGGTCCAGCGGTTTAGTCGTGATGCAAACTCCAACGCCTATCAAGAGTGGAGTGAGTGAGTATCCAATGGAGCTGTGCTCAGGCCTGTTACCATAGGCTTGCAGTACATCCCATCAGCGTGTTGTACTTTCGCGTTGCCACTTTAAATAAAATATCGCACAAGCTTTTGCTCTAAACAAACAGGGCTTCTCTGAGAAACAAGATTTAAAAAAAAACAGGATTATTGAACACTGAGTAAGAATAATGGACAGCCACTCGTAATTGGGCATGGAGAAGGCTGAAGGGAATGAGGAGACGAGACAAAATACCACATAACCTGCCGTTGTCCTGGTTTTAAATACTGTTGAAGGCAGTACATTTGGAACGGAGGAACTGTGTTCCTCGCGTAGTCTGGCAAGACAAGACAAAGGGTGCTCCTCTCAGTGTCTGTGTCGGAGGAGAGCAGTTGAGGCCAGTCTGCTATCGGAGCAGCTTGTTTTCGGGGTTGAAGATGCCATCGCACTCCACGAGGATCAGCTCCACGATCTGGTTCTGGTAAACCATGTGCACCGCCATGTTGCTAAAGTCCTTCTCCGATCGCATGAGCGTGGGCCCGAACACGATGGCTATGCTCTGAGCCGTCATGCGATTGGCCTCCGAGTGCTCCACGACCCTGAAAGCAGAAACAGCCGCGTTGCGAGGTTACATCCTCGTGAGGCGTGAGCCCGAGCACGGTCATTCGTCACCGCTTCGTCATGAAGATCCCTCACACACTGAAATCATTTCTCTTCCAATTTGTAGCCCTGCTCTCCTGAAGGTGTTTCTGACTCGTTTTTCTCTATGGTTCCACTCGCTTAGTTTTCTTATTCAACACAAACAAATCCCGTTCCTCTCCTCGCCCAACATCCGCATCCGTGCAACAACAGCAACAACAACAACAACAACTTGCATTTATATAGCACCCTTCATGTTGGACAGCGTCTCGGAGAGCTTAACAGTGGCGGAGCACGACACCAAGCCAACAACAACAACAACAAGATTCCATTTATTGAGCGCCTTTCACGTCGGGAGGACGTCCCAAGGCGCTGTAAAAGCCATGGAGTGATCTTAAGCCGTTCGAAGAGGAAGGTCTTCATACATTCTCCAGCAAAGGGTGTGTGTGTGTCTGGATAGCAATCAGGAATGGGATTTCTATTTGTTTTTCTTTTCTTAACCCAGGGTCACTGACACCAATTGTAGACCCCCCCACCCTCCCCCCAACCCCAACCAGCAAGCTGGCCAGAGATCAGCTAGCCCAAGCGCTCTGGGACATTATCCTGCGTGAGGGCACTATATAAATGCAAGTTGTTGTTGATTAAGCACAGATCAGGATTGACCCTGGGTACTGACCTTGTACTGTGGTTAGTATTGTATATACCGGCGCTGTAATGTCTTTGCTCACCAGAGGGGTGGCCAATCCACATTGTAGAACCAGAATAAAACCTTCTCTGTACTCTTCCCGAACAAAAGCGCCTCAGTCCTAACCTCAGAAGATCACCATCCAAAGCAGCAATGTGTAATCATGCCATTTCCCACAAGAGGCTTCCCAGTCGCCTCTTTAATGGTGATTACCATCTTAGCAACAAACATCAGCAACGACGGGGTTGGGGGTGTCTCTTGTTTCCACTCAAGCACGGATTTGTCTTTGGCAGACCCTGTTGTCCCCAAGACAGTTGTACTTCAATAAGAGGGTAAAACTCAGAAGCTTTACCCCCATGGCATTTCTCCAACAACAAATAAAGGGTTGCAATGTTGCAGATTACTTTAATTTCAAAGAACGGAATAACTATTCTGCAGCTCTCCCCGCTTTCCTTTCACTGAAATCTCCCAGAATCAGAGGAACAGGCAACTCAGCTCATCCAGTCTCTATCAGTGCTCGTCTCCACATGAGCCACTCAGGCTGATCTCTCCATCTCTCTGTATCCTTTAATATTCCGCTGTTTCTAGAATCCTTCAATTCCCCTTTAACAGAATACATAAACTGTCTCAACAGCAATTTGTGGCAGAGAATTCCAGATTCCAATCATTCCCTCCTGCCCCCGCCCCCATCCCTTTGAACTTAATAATAAAACAATTCTTGCATTTGATATAGCGCTTTTCACGTCTTCTCGACGGATTAACTTCCCCTTTAATCATTTTGGAAATCATCTTAATTTTGTACCAACATCTTCCAGAGGTTGTGCTTGTTGTGGCGTGAGGAGAGCCAGAGAAATGATCAACATTCTCAAAGTCTCTGAGTACTCGAAGAGTTAAAGGAACAGGCAGCCACCCAACCTCCCCCACCCCCTCCCTCCCTCCCTCCCTATCATCCCCACAGAGCAATTTAGTTTTAATTCCGCTCGGCGCCGCTCTCTCTCCTTCGCTCTCATTTCTAGGTCAATCCCAAATCCAGAGTTGCTGGGAACAAGCTCGGAGAATCTACTGGAGAATCTTGTGGGAAACCGAAACGGGTTGGCAATAGAATCGACAGAGGCAGGGACTGGGGAAGTGACAGAGTACAAATCTAAGTGTGATTGAGCAAGGAAACATCTTTGCTGCAACTCTCAACGAGATCATCAGACCATTTTAGTGATATTAGTAGGCAGATTTTCACCCAAAGGGTAGTGGAAGTCTGGAACTCTCTCCTCCAAAAGGCTGTGGATGCTGGATCCATTTACATTTTCAAGACAGAGGTAAATAGATATTTGTTAGGTCAGGGTATTAAGGGATATGGGACAAGGGCAGGTAACTGGACTTGAGGTACAGGTGAACCATGATAAAATGGCGAAACAGGGGCTGAATGGCCTCCTCCTGTTTCTGTAAGGGATTGGTCCTCACTCTTTATTCTTCATCTGGCTGCTCCCAAATACCACACACTTCTCCATCTCTCATTCTTCAAATTCATAAAATACTTTCACACGGACATGGTGGAGTGTTATTGTTCTCTCTTCCTCTCCCTTTTCCAGAATGTCAACCCAAATGTCTGATGAACGAGCTGGACTCCAGCAGTGACTCCAGGTATCGAACCCGAACCCTGTGTATCACGCCACTTCTGCACTGATTTGGCAAAGGTTCTAGCCCTATGCTCATGCACCGGTCTTGCTCTCTCGCTCCTCTCACATTCACTAATTATTTGCAGATTTCTCTGATGGGGGTTTATTCTGCAGGGCTTTCTTTGCTGGAACATCCACCCCACCCTTTCGTGAATTAAGCATCTTTCAAAATGGTTGTTTTCCGGTTGCTGTGGCAATTCTTAATAACTGGGATTCCAGGCTGGCACCAGGAATTAGTACCTGACCATTACCAATTTGAGAAACACGTGGGTTTTATTACTGGAACAATCGGCTGTGAGTTAAAATCCACTCTCTCACAGACAAGATCGGTTACCACACTGACAACGACGAGTCCCTACTCTCGGAAAAAAATATATTTTGAGTTTTTTTTAGACAAAAGTAGCAAAGCCACCGAGATTCAAGGCAAACAGTAAAGCTTTTCATTCTTTGATTGCACGAGTTTTAGCAGTCGTTTTGTTTTCTGCTTGAAACACTCCAAGGCAACGAAACCAAGAACCATTACTATCCATTGCCAGTGCTTGTGGCCATGACACCGTTGCCTTAATTCCAATCAATTGAGCAATACTTAACCCATTCACCCCTGGAGATATTACACATCAACCTAATTCCTTTTCTTAAAAAAAACATGCTTTTCTTCTGCCTAGAACATTCTAAGAACCAGGGATTATAGTTTCAAAATAACTTGTTGAGTTGTTGGAACAAAGTTGTGGAACAAAGGGCAGGGACTCTTCCCACTCAGCTCCTGTTAACTCTGCAAGCCAAAGCCCTAACGGGTAGGGTGGACTTAGCTGGACAAGCAGCAGGAAAGCGATATCAATGGCAAGCTATGTGGTTTTAGCTGGATAGACTCCAGCAGTTACACCAATCCACACTCTGGGATTGCTATTTGGAGTCCTGTAGCTCAGTGCAGCCCATAGCACAGAAACTGCCCTGGTCAAGGTCACCAATGATATCCTGACCATCTGTGACCAGGGCTCCCTCTGCCTCCTCGTCCTCCTCGACCTATCGGCAGCATTCGATACGGTCGACCACGCTATCCTACTCCACCGCTTGTCCTCCCACCTCAACCTTCAAGGCACTGTCCTTGAGTGGTTTAGGTCGTACTTTTCTCACCGTCTTCACTTTGTCTCGACGAACGGCTTCTCCTCCACCCCCCGTACTGTCTCATGTGGAGTCCCTCAGGGCTCTGTCCTCGGTCCCCTCCTCTTCACCCTCTATATGCTCCCCCTTGGTGACATCATCCGCAGACATGGAGTTAACTTCCACATGTATGCGGATGACACCCAACTCTACCTTTCCTCCTCTACTCTCAACTCCACGACCACCGATGTCCTGACAGCTGCCTGTCCGACATCGAGTCCTGGACGAGAGACAACTTTCTTCAGCTCAACGTGCGAAAAACCGAGGCCCTCCTGATTGGCTCGCGTCAGCGCCTCCGCACCTCAGGCGCCGACACCATCAGCATCCAAGGCTGCACTCTCCACCTCTCAAAGCCAGTCAGGAACCTCGGCGTTTTGTTCGACCCTGAGCTGTCCTTTCTCCCTCACATCCGCACCACAACTGGCACCGCCTTCCATCACCTCCGGAACATCGCCAGACTACGGCACTACCTCACCCCTCACGCTGCTGAAACCCTGGTTCACGCCTTTGTCACCTCAAGGCTGGACTATGGGAACTCTCTCCTCGCCGGCCTTCCCGGCCCTCCCTCCACAAGCTGCAGGTCATTCAGAACTCTGCAGCTCGTGTACTGTCCCGCACCAGGCTTCGGGACCACATCACTCCCACCCTCGCTCGCCTCCACTGGCTCCCCATCCCCCAGAGGATTGATTTCAAGATCCTCATCCTCACCTACAAGGCCATTCACGGCCTTGCTCCCTCCTACCTCTCCAACCTACTATCCCCCTACCTACCTGCCCGTACCCTCCGTTCCTCCGGCTCCGGTCTGCTCCACGTCCCCCGCCCCAATCGCCCTACCATTGGTGGTCGGGCCTTCAGCCTCTCAGCCTCGAGGCTCTGGAACTCTATCCCCCAGTGCCTTCGCCTTGCTTCCTCCCTCTCCTCCTTCAAGGCCGGTCTCAAAACCTTTCTCTTTGACCGAGCCTTCAGCTCCCCTCTCGACTCTCTTCCCCCTTCTCGCTCCCTCCCATCCCTCCCCTCACCCTGACCATTTCCCCCCTCCTCGCTCCCTCCCCTCCCCTCACCCTGACCATTTCCCCCCTGCTCGGGTCATGACCCAACTGTGCAGCGCCTTGGGACGTCCTCCTGACGTGAAAGGCGCTTTATAAATGGAATCTTGTTGCTGTTGTTGTTGGTTAGAGCACTCGCTTTGCAAGCGAGAGACCTGAGTTCAATTCCAGGCAGAGGGCGAAACCTTGGGCAAGTTTCCTTACTCCACACAGAGCCTAATGATAATCCCTCCAAAACAAAAAACAATAATAAATTGGTCATTTTCAATCTACGACTGTTTGTGGGACATTGCTGTGCGCAATTGGTGGCCGCGTTCGCCCACAAATATACAGTCAATTCACTTTACAGTATATTCTGTGAAGCGCTTTGGGACGTCCTCCCGACGTGAAAAGCGCTATATCAAATGCAAGGATTATTATTATTATTATTCCCAAGCCTTGGCTCTTGCCAACCTGCGCCTAATAATTTCCGGAATTAGGTAAGCAGGATGTGTCCCTCCAGGAAGAGAGTGCACATTCCATTCCAATAATCTAACTCTAGAATTTCCTTGCGTAGGTGGGATGCATGGAATTTGCAGTTTGGTTTGGATATTCATAAGGTGATGGGTTTCTGTATGTGTCAGACACCCAGCTGAGAAGAAAAAGGTTTCCAAAAGAAACAAGACAAGTTCCTGGAAACTGCAGGATTCAGGGTTATTGCATGGTAGACAGCTTCTGCGAAATTGGACTAGCAGTGAGATTGATCTACTGCCTGAAACTCTTAGCCTGTTACTTTTAGATTCATTTGACTGGCCTGTACTCTTTTTGTACTGTTCATTTTCCAAATACAACATGAAGCACGAAAACATCCAAATAAGACTAAAATCTTATGAAATCAGCAGCTAATAAACACATTATTTACAAAAAAAAACTATGTGAAGGGAAAACCAATAAGGTTGAATCAGCATATAACAACCTGGCCAACAGATGAAATCGACCATTCGCTTCATGGTGTTTGTAGGACATGACTATGCGGAAATTGGCTGCCGAGTTCACCCACAAATACAGTCACTACACTTTACAGTAAATCTTGTGAAGCCCTTTGAGATGTCATCCAGGCATCAGTAACAAAGATGCATAATTGCATGATCATTGCAAGAGGCATAATGGGGGAAGTTGCAAGAATTGTCTTTCACATACACGTACACAGAATTATTAGGACGTGTGATCCATTAAAATTGACTATTAAAGCCAAGGCATTTAAGAGGCAAATTAGATGAATACGTGAAGAATGAAGGTATAAAAAGATATGGAGGAAAGAGCAGGGTTATGGGATTAGCATTAAAGAATGCTCACAGCACAGAAAGCCATTGGGAATGTTTTTACGCACACTTGAACACAGTACTGGTTTAATTCACCTCGAAAGAATGAAGGGCTGAGTGGACCTTAGTGAGATTCAAATCCCAAAGCTTTTGGTCCCAAGGCCTGATCACAAGCTATGGGAGGAAACACAGTTGGTATGGGACAAGGTTTCGCACTGAACACTTCTGTTTACTCACTTTTTTAGGTGTCTAAACATGACTCTCATTGTGTCTTGGTTGGGTTTTGGTAAACTCCACACCAGCTGTTTTATGCTCTCGACTTTCTCAGCAGCATCAGCTATTTCTACAAAATAAAACACGCAACAAACACAGTCGTGTTTAAGCATTAAATTACCCTGCAACTAGTCTAGCCAACATGGTTGCAATTAAAGGCTTACATTTTTTTTTAAAAGGAATGATTACTTTATAAATATACATTCGGTTTATCCAGAAGGGTGACAATTACCCACTGTGTCACCTCAAGGCTGGACTATGGGAACTCTCTCCTCGCCGGCCTTCCCGCCACCTCCCTCCACAAGCTGCAGGTCATTCAGAACTCTGCAGCTCGTGTACTGTCCCGCACCAGGCTTCGGGACCACATCACTCCTACCCTCGCTCGCCTCCACTGGCTCCCCATCCCCCAGAGGATTGATTTCAAGATCCTCATCCTCACCTACAAGGCCATTCACGGCCTTGCTCCCTCCTACCTCTCCAACCTACTATCCCCCTACCTACCTGCCCGTACCCTCCGTTCCTCTGGCTCCGGTCTGCTCCACGTCCCCCGCCCCAACCGCCCTACTATCGGTGGTCGGGCCTTCAGCCTCTCAGCCCGAGGCTCTGGAACTCCATCCCCAGTGCCTTCGCCTTGCTTCCTCCCTTTCCTCCTTCAAGGCCGGTCTCAAAACCTTTCTCTTTGACCGAGCCTTCAGCTCCCCTCTCGACTCTCTTCCTCCTCCTCGCTCCCTCCCTTCCCTCCCCTCACCCTGACCATTTCCCCCCTCCTCGCTCCCTCCCTTCCCTCCCCTCACCCTGACCATTTCCCCCCTCCTCTCTCCCTCCCTTCCCTCCCCTCACCCTGACCATTTCCCCCCTGCTCGGGTCATGACCCAACTGTGCAGCGCCTTGGGACGTCCTCCTGACGTGAAAGGCGCTCTATAAATGGAATCTTGTTGTTGTTGTTGTTGTTGTAATTGTACATTTGCTGTTTATTAATCAGGGATCGAATTCCTTACTATCAACAACAAATGACATTTACACAGCACCTTTCACATCAGGAGGATGTCCCAAGGTGCTGGACAGTCAGGGATCCACATCCGAGCTGATGATTGGGATCAGGAGGGGAGGAGGTCAGGGTGGGCAGGGGTAGAAGGGTGACCGAAGGCACGGTCGAAGAGGAGGGTCTTGAAGTGGGTCTTGAAGGAGGCAAGGGAGGCGGCGAGGCAGAGGGACTGTGGGATGGAGCTCCAGAGGGTGGGGGCAGGGAGGCTGACGGTCCATCTGCCAATGGTGGGGCAGGCAAGGCCAGGATATGAAGCAGGCTGGAGCCCGCTGAGCGGAGGGAGCGGATAGATTGGTAGTGGGCCAGAAGATCACAGAGGAGGTCACTTACTAATAGCTGACACAAAGTGTTCAAAGGAGTTATATGGGACAAGTGGTTCAGGCAGCTCTCGGAAGAACATCTTCAAAGCTCCGGTGATCACATGAACGTCCTCCCACTGAGCATCATCCATGTTCAGCTTCTCCTCTGCACAAACAAAACAGTATTCAGCACTGAATGACCACCGTTGTGTTGAAGCTTTTGGAGCCGTGGTAAGATGAAAATCGGAGCTCTGATCACTGACCATCTCCATGTAACAAACAAGAATGAAGCACTCAACAGCATAGTCAAGAACACATCAAGGCATGATCTTAAGCAACAAACGCCATTGCCAGACACATGATAGCAAAGGGCTGGTTGCTGCAACTCCACGGACACAGACACAGAGCTACACTCACACAGCTACAAACACAAATGACACCACACGGACACATAAGCGGCACGAAACAGCCACAGCTTCATAGCGTAAACTGTGAGTGGAATCATCTACCATTGATGTATACCACGACAACAACAACAACAAATTACATTTGTATAGCGCCTTTCATATCAGGACGATGTCCCAAGGCTGGGCAGTCAAGCATTTGGACCCGAGCTGGGGGTTGGGATCAGGAGGGGTTGAGGGCATTAATAGATAATAATAATAATTAATTATAATAATAATAATTAATATATGACCTTCCAGTATGTAGAAATCTGAAGCCACCCAGTATAAGATCCTGCCCTAAGCACAGCAGGGAGACTAATTAACTCTCTCTAACACTAGCAGGATACCAATAAAACACCAAGAAATTAATGAAGAAACCATACTTTACTATGTGGTTCAATATTTAGGAGTATGAAGCTCTTGCTCGGAGAATCAATATCTAATCTACAACCTCTCCCCTCCCAAGTACAGTCTGATTCAAGCGCTCCGAGACGCTGCCCCGCATGAAGCGTGCTATATAAGTGCAAGCTGTTGTTGTTACAGCACGTTTGTTCTGTGTGCGTTAAGATTGACTTCAACAAACTGCCAAATGTCAGAGGCTTTGAAATGCTGCGTAAATGGAGCAAGTTTAAACCCAGGTGGAATTCCCCCCCATCTGTGGCAATCTAATCGTCAATCAGCAATGGGATCTGGAGCTGTAAATAACCTGGCAAACACCTTGATCTGAACAACTCGCCAGGAAGAGTCTTCTCGGCATATAGGATTGAAGACTGCCAGGGAACAGTCACAGCTTCACACAGGGGAACTGTTGCAACAGGACTCTCAAGCACACGGACGCCTGGCTGAGACACAGATTGAGCAGACAGGGAGCTTGAGCAAAGCTCTTTGCACAACCAGATGCAGCCACTTAGAATGCCAGGGCGAGATGGTTTCTTCTACCTTGACACAGTCCTTCGGGAAACAAATAGCGACCATCAGTTGTCACCGCCCTTTCTGTAAAAATAATATTAGAAAAACGCAGCCACTTAAGTCACCTTCTGGAACAGTAAGTGCAAATAAATAACGAATTGATGGAGGAGCCTGCAGATGATTCTGATTAACTTTTCTTTTTTTTTTAAAAACGATGAAACCAAATAAATCAGTCAACAACCCAGGCAAGTAAACATCAGCGGACAGAAACCTCAAGGCGATTGAACTTTGAGAGAATTTGAGGTTATTGCTGATGCAAACCTTACATCCTACAGCTGTGAGATGTGCACACTCCATCTCCTCCGCAAATGAAAGACTCATTATTTAACACACGTGTATATGTTATTGCTCACGGATTGGGGGTTGCGGAAAGTGTTGATGGTTGACATCGGAAATCTTTTTGCTGTGCCTTTCTCATGGGAAGCATCTTTAATCTCAGATACCGATGTGTGATGGACCCTCCCTCCACAAGTCTGAGGAAGTCACAGAGGAGGCTTTGAAATGCTGTGTAAATGGAGCAAGTTTAAACTCAGGGTATCGATTACAATCAACTGTGATCTTGAACTGTGAAAACTGTGAAGCCACTCACGGATGTCACCCTCGGTTTAAGGTAAAAGATCTGCTTCACCAGGAAGTCCCCAGCTAATAGCTAGGGTGGGGTCTAAGATTCTATGATTCTATAGCAGGCGAGTGAGACTAGCTGGTAGCTCTTTCAAAGCCCGATGGGCTGAATGGCCTGCTTCTGTGCTGTAGGGTTCTATGATTCTAAAGTCAGGAACGCAAACATGGTGACATGTAATTGAGGTTTTCATGCTGTGATTATCCTGGTCATAGAATCATAGAGCACAGTACAGAAGGAGGCCATTTGGCTCATCGTACCTGTGCTGGCTCTTTGAAAGAGCTATCAACTAGTCCCACTCCCCCGTGCTTTCCTCATAGCCTTGCAATTTTTTTCCTTTTCAAGTAGCTATCCAATTCTCTTTTGAAACTTATTATTGAATCTACTCCACCACCATCTCAAGCAGTGAATTCCAGATCATAACAACACGCTGCGTTAAAAAAAAAATCTTCTCATCTCTCCTCTGCTTCTTTTGACAATTGTGTGGTAGGAGCACCTTACCCACTAGGGCTTTGACTCACAAGATTGAGCACATGTCTGGACTTCCAAGTCTCACTGATGAGCTAGAGTGGCTGGTCAAACTATTAGTAGTGCCTTGGATTTACTGGCTTTAGCCCAATCTCTCCACAGTCAGTTCAACCCCAGGGAGAACATTTTATTCTAAAAAGAAAACGGTGCTGGTAGAAGGGTGAGGAGCTGCGTGCTCCCAACAGAGTCAAACCCAACATCTGGTGGTCCCAAATCAAGAGCTCAACTAACTGAGAAACTCCAGCGTGGTTCAGAATCGGAGAAATGAACAGAACAGAGTTTGAGGCTGCAGCACTCAACTTGCACGTGAACAGTCATCATGCACCTTCCAGTGGACCTGCCAAAGTACACACAACTTCAAGGAACTTTAATTGCAGCCGTAAGAAAATAATTGCATGGGAAAGAGATTTGTTCCATTATGTAATTAATTAGAATTTGGATTGGTCCCAGTCTTTGTGTACTTGCAATCCAGGAATGTCAAAAGTAATTCTCTCACTGACTGATCAGGGTCTGTCTTCACATGTAGAAACGTGCTCAAGGGAATGAGTGAAAGACGGGGCCATTGGCTAGTTAACTCTCAGTCAGAATGGCCCAAGGCTGCTCCAATTTGCCTGCCCAGATTTTTTTTATATATGGGAAGGGAGGTTGGGGGAAAGGACAGTAAGTATCAGAATTATTTCTCGATGGTGTGACCTCAATAGGAGAAGGGACAAGGGCAGTTTCAGGACAGATACCAGAAAGCTTTTCTTTACAGAGAGGAGTTGATGACTGGTTTACCGGGAAGAGTGGTTGAGGCCATGACATTGCCAATACAGGCACTATGGGCTGAATGGCCTCCTTCTGTGCTGTAGGGTTCTATGATGTAACACCTTGATGGTGTTGTAATTGAGGCTTAGGGTGTGCGTTCTAGGAAGTTGAGATAAAATGGGCCAAAGGGCCTTCTTCATCCAAAACTCTTTTGTTTTAATTGGTCCACATCATAACTGGTCCACATGAAGTTTGCACCTCTTGTCAGCCAATTGGTAAACATAGCGCAAACTATCCTGTACTCCTGATTTATATGCAGAGGTGAATCTGTTGCTCCAATGGAGAGAGGGCAAACAAGGTGGAACATACCAAGAGGTGTAAAATAACTTTCACTGTAACTTTTTTGACTGCTAACCAGAGAGTCAAAGATTGAGCAGCAGCCCAATGGGGTGAAACTGGCCCCACAGACTGGCCTGTCAATAGGGTAGGCTACTGCAGAGTCAGCGCTGCATCACAGTGGCTATATTGCCAGAGAGCTGGAAGCAATTACCCTGGAAATGCAACAACAACCACAACACATTACATTTACACAGCTCCTTTCACGTCGTGAGGACATCTCAAGACGCTGGATTTGCACCCAAGCTGGGGGTTGGGATCAGGAAGGCAGGGAGGGTGATGAAGAGTGGGTTGAAGAAGAGGGTCTTGGGACGGGTTCCAAAGAGTGGAGGCAGAAACGCTGAAGGCAGTGAGGGAAGAGTAAGAAGAGGGGAACAGTACCAATAACTCCCTTGGAGGAGGCAAAGCAACTGTTTGTCATTCATTTTCTGAAGACCAAGAGTAGGAAAGAGTTAAATAAGGCAATGTCTGGTATGATTCTCTTGGAGCTACAGAGGGTTACAACAGAGGGTTAGGATAAGAATGGTGGCAGATCGATAAACACACGTCATTTAGAAAAACTGAGGTCGGAGCAAGGATGAAATTCACGAGTTAAAAATAACACTAAAACTGCATTTTATTGCACCGAGAGTAAGATGTCTGGAGGGGTAATTAACACGGCAGATCCTGGGTGGCAATAACACTATGCAACTTATTTGACAGATTTGCTGTGAAGAGATCGCCGCTGATCGCAGTTCAGTCTTAGGTCAGTTAGTTATGTTTCACTCGTTTTTGGTTTAAGAATATGATATAGTTCATCCTTAAAAATAGCAACAATTCGCATTTCAAATAAATGTAGGGCTGAACAGAATGAGAGATTGATAGATATGGATCAAAGGCAGAAGAGATGTATGGTTTATTTTAGGTTTTTGAAGGCGGGGCGAGACGTCATGAGGCAAAGTGTTTTCAGGAGAAAGCTCCACACAAGGGCATGGTCTTGGCTGAGGTCTTGACCGCCGATGGTGGTGGAGTGCAGAGCACATCATCAGACTCGCTCTTTACAATCCTAAAACGTCACTCTTGCCCTTTTTCTCTTTCGTTTCTCTGATAGAGATCGACCGCTCTGGGTTAAACGATGAATTTTTGAACCAAGGGAGAAAAAAGCCCTTGAGAACAGGTGCCAGCATGGGAGCGAGAGCTAGAATTTAGGAGCAGTACAGTTACGTGCAAAACTGAATCAGCCCAGACCGGGTGTGGAGCTGGAGGATTTCTGCCATGTTTCCACATACAGCAGCAAAGCACGCGAGTCACTCGTGTCATGTCCTTCTCATCGACAGTCTACTTGTGCAACACTGCCATCTGCTGCAGAAACATGCCCCAACTGTGTTAAATAAACTAAGACCGAGCTTCCGCGAGGGGCTATGCTGCTCTGCTTTATCGATAACGATAATGTCACAACCTTGGGGATAATCAGAGTTTTCTCATATATATATATATAAATAAATAATATATATTATTGTAATAATATAATATTTATTATTATATATAATATATATATTTACACACACACACAGTGACCAAAACGTCAGGATACAATTAAAACGTCTAATAAAGAAATTGTGATATTTTTGTGGGGGGGGGTTTAGATAATACGGTAGATATCACGACTTTTTGGTCAGCTTGTATATATGTGTATACTATGTGCATTATATACTGTATGTATATATAATTTAAAAAAATACATAATATCACATTGGTGTGCACATATCGCTTACCGTGATCTACTAGGAACCTCAACTTCTGTATCGTCGCGAGGTTTCCACTTACTCGATAAATGCCATCCGCTTCCAGCCCTATGAGTGAGTAAGGAGAGGGATTGTACTAACCATCAGGTTAGAATTTCATGCGGAATATCATTTAAAATAAATATAATATAATTTGAATATGAATAGAATTTCAGCAATGCTGTCTCGATGAAGGAGCCCAGTTAACGATCTAATTTTTTTTAAATTTAGTTATTTTACAGCGAAGTACAAATCCTGTATCACAACAATGTGTAAATTCATGGTTAAAGTCAAGGAATGTGTCATTAACTGAAGACTTGTACAGGTGGAAGGAAGCCTGCTCCCTCCCTCAATTTGCCCAAGCAGAGTGTGATGGTGAATAGTGTTCAGTTTGTTTTCTTTCCTCCCCAAGTTCTCTCCCTCCTCACCCTCACCAGTGCCCTCCTGCACCTTGCCCAAGAACCCAGTCTTCATGTGCGTGCCCTTTCAAATCGATTGCAAAACACAGCCACCACACTTGTGAAGTGCTAAGTCTAAAAGCAGCTTATTTTCATACAGCAAATCTGTAAAAGATAATTGCCTTAGAGAGATTATCACAGGTACGACCAGCACCTGGACTCCACATAGAAATTCTTCCTATCAAGGTTTCAACAAACTAATTTTAAAATCCAATTTACACACAATTTTCAGAGCAGATGGGAAGCACAGTCTCCATAAAAATTCCCACTCTATCAACAGCATTTTTGCCCTCAAGCAACAAAAAAATCACAATACAACAATAATAATCCTTGCATTTGATATAGTGCCTTATCATGCTGTCGAGATGTCTCAAAGCGCTTCACAGAATGAATTGACTATATATTTTGTGGGCGAAACGTGGCAGGCAATTGTGCACAGCAGTGTCCCACGAACATTTGTGAATTGAGGGACCACATTTTTTTTTCTCGAGGGATTATTACTCCCGGAAAATAATCCACCAATCGACCAACAACCAGGTTCCTACTTACTGCTGGGTAAACAGAGGCACGTGGAGTATGGAAACTTGCCGAAGGTTTTGCTGCGCTCAGGAACCTAACCCAGTTCCTCTCGCTTGCGAGGCGAGCGCTCCAACCAATCTTGATCAGATCTCTAACCAATACACCACAATAAATCAATGACATCCTTCGCTCGGGATGGGGTGGGCTCACCTCGCTTCTCCACGGCATCGATGCAGAGTTGCACAAACTTGGGAACGTTCTCCTTCTCCCGGTCACACAGAGTTTCAAGCCGGCAGCCAAACACCTGGTCTGCAAGACATCAACCAGAATACATCCGTTTTAGTTCATGAAAAGTACCGCGTAGTCCAAGAGACAAACAAAACTTGGAATCTTTAGAAAACAGAGGGCCCTGGAACACAAACCAACAACAAAAACTTATATTTATATAGCACCCCTCACCAGGGTAGCGTCCCAGGGCGCTTGATAGTGGCGGAGCATGACAGTGCTCCACAGCAAGCTCCACAAATCAGGTGGGGTGCAAACTCCCGAATTGCCTGCTCTTCTTCAATAGCAAAATGGGACATTCAAAACCCACTTGAACAGGGAGACAGGGCCTTGGTTTAAAAATCTCATCCAAAAGGATGTCCTGTAGCGTAGTGCTGAGAGCACTCGCCTTGCAAGTGAGAGGACCTGGATTCGATTGCCGGAGGGCGAACTTAATGCAAGTTTCCTAATTGAGGCATAAGGATTGGTTGAGATTGTCCACGCCAAGTACCTTTGATGAGTCCCTTTTCCTGCAAGGATTGCAAAGGTGGTCTCTTGGTGATGAACTTTCTTAACCGACTTTTCACTCTCTTCTTCTCCGAGCTGTCAGAGTTCATCCGACGCACTGCAAACACCAACAACAAGTCTAATTCACACTCACGCACACGCGAGCAGGCGCACACAGGCACACACACGCATGAATGCCACTTCCCCAAAAGATGGGGAAGTGGCATTCAAAGGTCTGCTGTAGAACCATAGAATACTACAGCACAGAAAGAGGCCATTTGGCCCATTTTGCCTGTGCCGGCTCTTCAGAAGAGCTACTCCATATCCTTGCAAGATTTTTTCCTTTTCAAGTACCTATCCAATTCCCTTTTGAAAGCTGTTATTGAATCTGTTTCCATCACCCAGAGATTTAATAACTGGTGAAGCAGGCTGCTTGAGTTGAATAGTCTCCTACTATTCCTATGTTCTCAGATCAATACAGATTTAGGGTTGAACAGTTGCCCAAGAGACAAGTCAATCACGCACACAAGGTCATCCTGCTGTCTCGTTTCTCCTTGGCTGGATTCTCATCCTCGTCCCCACTGCAGTCTAATAGTTCAGCACTGGATGATCTCCTGAGTGCGTACACCATCTGGTAATCCAAAGGGTTCTCTCGATCCTATTTCAAAACACAGAGAACAATCAACACAATCAGGCTGCTTTGTTTCATGTCTGCTTTATCAATGGCAAGCTAGTTGGTTTTAGCTGGTTAGACTCCAGCAGTTACCCAAACGCACATTCTGGGCTCCCCAAGTCTTGGATCTTGCCAACCTGCGCCTAATTCTGGAATTAGGTAAGCAGGAATACATCCCTCCAGGGAGAGCGAGAGATGGAGTGTGCATTTCATTCCAACAATCTATCTTTGGGATTGCCATGCGTAGGTGGGATGCATCGAATTCCCAGTTTGGTTTGGATACTCTTAAGCGTAGCGATGGGTTTCCACGTGTGTTAAATTCAACATTTTCTCAATCTCACTTGAGACAATTACAGTGGTCAGAGATTACAGCATACTGCACCGTGTTTAGCTGCAATGTTCTCCCTCACCCTCTGTTCAAGAAGACCCTGAACTCCCCTTATCCATGTTCACCTTCTAACACCTCACCCACTGTGGCTACTTTTTACACGTCACCTTGACAGTGATTGCCAGCAGCCTGTGGGCATCAGTCAATCCTGATCCCACTCTCCTTCCAGTGATGGGACGGGAAGTCGAAGAGGGGGCGCGGGGGCAGGTGGGGAAAGAGAGGAGATTCTGTGGATAGGAATGAGGAACAGGAAGCCTGGTTCACTTTGCTGCTCCCTAAACCTCCCATCAGGTGCACCGAGCTCAATATTGTCCAGACCAGGATTCAAACCTACGACCCTGGTCTTGCGTCAGGAGGTGTCTTTACCCATCAGGCTCCGAAAGAAACTACTTCCTCCCACAACTAACACATGTTGGATACTCCTTTAAGAGTAATTGACAATTAACACAAGCAACAATAAGAAGTACAAAAGAACACTGGGAGTGAGACAAAGTGTGTGTGTGTGTGGTTTAGAGTGGTGGATTCATGAATGTTTGGATTGACAAATAAAGCTTACTAACAAACCCTTGATTTGGATCAAGTTATATTACAAAACACACTTACCAACGTCTCGATCACATTCTTAATGGTCTTATACCAGTCACTGATATAATCTTCATTTTCAGCCTGAAAGAGGAACTCGTTGCCAGTGACAGTCCGTAGCTGCAGGTGAAAAATACAGAATAAATGCAGCTGTAGCACGGGTTAGATGCAAAGTAAAATTCTCTCCAGACTCTTCCCAGTCAGATATAGCATGTTTTGAGTAAAGTTCCCTCTACACTGTCCCATTCAGCACTCCTGGGCCAGGTTAGCACTAATTTAATGCAGAATAGATTCCAGCTTCTCTGCACCACCAATATGCTAATGTTTTTATTAACCTCAAAACAACATCCTCATTTTGCAAGGGTAAAGAGACCTGGATTATTTAGTAATAATCCTTGCATTTGATATAGCGCTTTTCACTTCTTCTCGACGTCTCAAAGTGCTTCACAGAATATGCTGTAAAGTGAATTGACCGTATATTTGTGGGCAAAACGCGGCAGCCAATTGCGCACAGCGGCGTCCCACAAATAGTCAAGGATTGAAAATGACGAATTTATTATTGTTTTGTTTTGGAGGATTATTATTAGGCTCTGTGTGGAGTCAGGAAACTTGCCCAAGGTTTCGCCCTGCCTGGAATTGAACCCAGGTGTCTCGTTTGCAAGGTGAGTGCTCTGACCATTGAGCTACAGGACTCCTTTAATTTAATTGCTCCTCATAGCTCATGCGTGTAACACCTCAACAGCAACAACAACTTGCATTTATATAACCCCCCCTCATGCAAGGTAGCATCCCAGAGCACTTGACTGTGACAGAGCACAACTCCGAGCAGGGGGTAAGGGGAAGTGACTTCAGACGTGGTTGAACAGGAAGGTCTTCAGGCGCGACATGAAAATGGGGAAGGACGGGGCAAGGCGGTGGGATAGAGGAAGAGTGTTCCAGAGTTTCGGGGCATTGTGACTGAAAGCCAGTCACCTCATTGCTCTCCTGTGTACTGCCCCTCTATCCCTGAAATCGAAGGAAATCCAAACAAATGATTCAATCAAAAACGTGACAGTGATCCAGAAATAAGAAATAACAAATGTGTAAATAATAGGCATACGCGGAACACGTTCTTCTTGCTGGACATCTCTTTTGTCCACTCGATCAGTGACCCGCGCAGATCCACACTGCTCTCCGGTCTGTTCCCCGGTTTCTGTGTCAAAAAATAAATAATCAGGCAACAAACATTCTGTTAGGTAATTCTGAAAATGCAGCAATAGAAGTTTACAACAGCAACAAATGACATTTACACAGCGCCTTTCACTTCAGGAGGCCATCCCAAGGTCCTGGACAGTCAGGGATCTTGCACCCGAGCAGGAGGTTGGGAATGGGAGGGTGGGGTGCAGGGAGGGTAGGAGGTTGCCCAGCGTAAAACAATTTCCAGAACAAAGTGATGATCTGCCCCACAGAGAACACACACTGCAGCGAACAAACATCCTACAACTCCAGCGTGAAACACATACCGACAGTGTACAAGATAGACTTCTGGAAAACACGTACAGGATTTTAAACAATAATTGGGAAGATGTCGGATAATGCCCCTTTCCCTTTCTGAGATATTTTACACAGAGACCTGGGCCTGTGGTGTACCTACCCAGCTAGCAGCAGTTTGGGTTTTGGTCTCTTTGTAGAAGGCAAGACTGTTTCCAACGAGAACCACCCGCGAGATGCTCCAGTTTTTCCTAAGGAGATGCCGAAACAGACACCGTGATCAGATGCATTAAGAGTCAGAACTTTCCAAGGCTCCTCTGGTGGCTCAGGTGCGATACAGAGGTGATCAGGTGTGGAGTCCTGTAGCTCAGTGGTTAGAGCACTCACCTTGCAAGCGAGACACCTAGGTTCAATTCCAGACAGGGCGAAACCTTGAGCAAGTTTCCTTACTCCACACACAGCCTAATAATAATCCCTCCAAAAAACAATAATAAATTGGTCATTTTCAATCCACGACTGTTTATGGGGACGCTGCTGTGCGCAATTGGCTGCTGGGTTTCGCCCACAAAGATACAGTCAATTCACTTTACAGCGTATTCTGTGAAGCGCTTTGAGACAACAACAACAACAACAAGATTCCATTTATTGAGCGCCTTTCACGTCGGGAGGACGTCCCAAGGCGCTGTACAGTTGGGTCAGGACCCGAGCAGGGGGGAAATGGTCAGGGGGAGGGAAGGGAGGGAGCGAGGAGGGGGTAGAGAGTCAAGAGGGGAGCTGAAGGCACGGTCAAAGAGAAAGGTCTTGAGACCGGCCTTGAAGGAAAAAAGGGAGGAGGCGGCGAAGGCACTGGGGGATAGAGTTCCAGAGCCTCGGGGCTGAGAGGCTGAAGGCCCGGCCACCGATTGTAGGGCGGTTGGGGCGGGGGATGTGGAGCAGACCGGAGCCAGAGGAACGGAGGGTACGGGCAGGTAGGTAGGGGGATAGTAGGTTGGAGAGGTAGGAGGGAGCGAGGCCGTGAATGGCCTTGTAGGTGAGGATGAGGATCTTGAATTCGATCCTCTGGGGGATGGGGAGCCAGTGGAGGCGAGCGAGGGTGGGAGTGATGTGGTCCCGAAGCCTGGTGCGGGACAGTACATGAGCTGCAGAGTTCTGAATGACCTGCAGTGTGGAGGGAGGGCCGGGAAGGCCGGCGAGGAGAGAGTTCCCATAGTCCAGCCTTGAGGTGATAAAGGCGTGGACCAGAGTTTCAGCCGCGTGAGGGGTGAGGTAGTGCCGTAGTCTGGCGATATTCCGGAGGTGATGGAAGGCGGTGCCAGTTGTGGTGCGGATATGAGGGAGAAAGGACAGCTCAGGGTCGAACAGAACCCCGAGGTTCCTGACTGGCTTTGAGAGGTGGAGAGTTTGGATGCTGATGCTGTCAGCGCCTGAGGTGCGGAGGCACTGACGTGGGCCAATCAGAAGGGCCTCAGTTTTGCGCACGTTGAGCTGGAGAAAGTTATCTCTCGTCCAGGACTCGATATCGGACAGACAGCCGACAGGACATCGGTGGTCGTGGAGTTGAGGGTAGAGGAGGAAAGGTAGAGTTGGGTGTCATCCGCATACATGTGGAAGTTAACCCCATGTCTGCGGATGATGTCACCAAGGGGGAGCATGTAGAGAGTGAAGAGGAGGGGACTGAGGACAGAGCCTTGAGGGACACCGCATGAGACAGTGCGTGGGCCGGAGGAAAGAACATTCGTGGAGACAAAGTGAAGATGGTGGGAGAGGTACGACCTAAACCACTCAAGGACAGGGCCTTGAAGGTTTGTGAAGCGCTTTGGGACGTCCTCCCGACGTGAAAAGCGCTATATCAAATGCCAGGATTTTTTTTTTAGGTGGGAGGAGAAGCGGTGGAGGAGGATAGCATGGTTGACCGTATCGAATGCTGCCGATAGGTCGAGGAGGACGAGGAGGCAGAGGGAGCCCTGGTCACAGATGGTCAGGATGTCATTGGTCACGTTGACCAGGGCAGTTTCTGTGCTGTGGGCAGCACGGAAACCCGACTGAAGGGGTTCAAATAATGAATGGGTGGAGAGGAAAGAGCGCAGCTGGGAGGCGACAACTCGTTCCAGGACCTTGGACAGGAAGGGGAGGTTGGAGATGGGCCGGAAGCTTGATAGCTGCGATACATCAAGGGAGGGTTTTTTCAAGGTGGGAGTGATGGTGGCAGTTTTTAAGGGAATGGAAACAGAGCCAGAGGAGAGGGACAGGTTGACGATGTCTTGTGATATGTGGGGCAAGGAGGTGGAGCTGAGAGATAAGGAGTGGAGTGGGGATGGGGTCAAGGGAGCAGGTGGTGAGTTTCAGGGATAGGATGAGTTTGGTGACAGAGGGTGGGGAAACGGGTACGAAAGTGTGTAGGGGGGGATGGGTAGGAGTCTATGAGAGACGTCTCGAAGACGTGAAGACGTGAAAAGCGTTATATCAAATGCAAGGATGATTATTATTATTATTATCATCCACCTTAGATAGGGCAGGGTAGGTGGGGTGGGGAGTGGGGCTCATGGAAGAGAAGAATCTGCCAGGGGATTAATAATAATGTTTGCATTTGATATAACGCCAATTCACTTTACAGTCTATTCTTTGAAGCGCTTTGAAATATCTAGAAGACGTGATAAGGTGCTATATCACATGCAAGGATTATTATTATTATTACGTCCTCAAGGTGTCTGAAAGCGCTTCACAGGTTATACTGTAAGGATGATTGACTGTATTTTGCAGGTGAAATGCTCCAATTCGCTAACCCCCAGCCCACCCGCTGGTAGGCTGCTGTTCAGTGAGCACACGATCGGGGTGGGAGTGGGGTCTTGTCTATGCTGATCCCTGCCGATTCTCACTGCCAACGCTCACACATGATCAATGGCCACTTGGCCAAGGCGTAGAAACCCAAAAGGAATCAAACGCACTTCAGGCGAGAAAGAGAGAAATGGTAGCTTCAAACAAGAGCAGCGTTCTATAATGTCAACTCATTTCTCTAAGTGGAAGAGGACAAAAGATTAACAGTGTCAGGGAGTCACACCCAGTGATCGCAGAAGACTTGAAAACCTGATATTGTGATAAGAACAAAAGTCAAACGTACTTCAGCTTCCTCCCGCCTTCTGCTATCTTGGTTTTATTCAGCAGACCAGCCTTTTCCAGCATCTAAACAAGGTGATAAAAGGTTTTGTTAAAGAAAGCATTAATCATTTTTTTTCCCCCAACAATCTAATGCTGTACACTGTCCAGCGCCTTGGGACGTCCTCCCGACATAAAAGGCGCTAGACAAATGTAATCTTGTTGTTGATGTGCGTTATTTCTTCGTGTTTAGTCCTTATCAATAAAGTGATAAAATGTAGGTTGGCAGTGAAATATATATACCTCTCAAGGGCACCAATCAATTCCCTGCAATGTTCTGCAAAATTTGTCAAATTTCCCTTGCAGTAATTTTCAGCACAGATTTCCACAATTTTCTATTGGCTCTGCTTATAGGCTAAGACTAGAAATACAATAGAAACTAACTCAGAAAGGGGCCATTAAGTTCATCAAGCCTGTGCTCGTGCAACGTCCTCCATTGGAACTATCCACCTTAACCGCAGATTCTCTCCTCTTTTCCTATATATATTTTTGTATTATTCCTGTTCAAATATTTGCTAGGAAAAAGAGAACCTGCTGCAGCCAGCTTTAGAGCCGGTCACACTCTCCCTGGGGCTAGTGTGGTGTGTGAGGGCACGGTGGGTACTGTAGGTGGATGCAAGAAAGCGGAAGAGCTTTTTTTAAAAAATATTTAAAAAAAGTAGTCTTATCCTCTGGAGGCGAGTAGGTAAAACAACATTTATATAGCCACCCGCCCACCCACCCACCTCATAAATTAATATATAAAAGTGTTCGACAGTGTGAAAAACCAAAACTTCAATTTATATAGCGCCCTTCACGCTGGAAGGCGTCTCGGAGCGCTTGGGGAAGGAAATGATTAGCACCAAAGCTCGTTTTTAGCGCTGCACAACTGAACCAATTGGAGAAATTTAATCTCCAGCCCGTGGGGGTGCATTTACAGCTAGACCAACACAGTGTCTGTAAATCACGGGGTTATCCCAAACTAGCCCGAGAGCAACACTTACAGGAGAGGCTCCTGCCGCAGGGTCGTTCATGCTCACACAGAAGCTATGATGTGAAAGATTTCTCCAATGCGTCACCTGCAGGAATACACAGAGTAATGTTGCATTTAATAAAAGTTAAACTGAGGCACCACTGTGGTACGATGTGAATGTTCCGCTAGAACAATGTTCACTCACTGAACAGTACTATATTTGCATTTAAAGGCAGAATAATCTGATTAACAAATTTCATTTTTTGCTGGCTCATCCCCTGGCTCATTGCTGTTGTCACACACCTGAATGCAGAATGTATTCAGACTGTGTGAAACTCCCAGGTCTGGACATAGACACTAAACATTGCAAAAGGAATCTTTCCTCTCGACTCTCTTTACAAGCAGTTATCCCCGTATAAGGTTGGCCTTTGCCCAAGTGAGGTATTTTGTGCACGAGTGTCAGCCATAGCAACAACCAACTTGCCAAGGCTTGCAGGATTGCGGAGATTTTGCCTGAGGCAGTCAGATGGACGTCGCCACAGTCTGGAACATCTTCTCCAACTCTACTCATCCAGCCCAACACTGAACTCACTCACAGCTTCACAGACAAGTACAGTTGCAAGACTGAGTCCGGGGTGCGAGTCTGAAACTCACCTGAAATCCACATCTGTGCAAACTGGACAAAAGATGCCGAAATCCAGGAAAATCTTTCTTGAACGCTCCTCTCACTTGAGACTTAAAATGTTTTCTATTTGTTTTTCCTGGGTGCTGACATCTCGGAATGTAGCGTGAGAAAAACCGAGGCAGAATCCACCTTTTCCTTGCCTTTCACCATTTTACAGGTCGTGATCGCGTCTTTGTTCAGTCTTTTTGAACAATTCCAAGGTCACTGTGTTCATTTCTGAGCCTCACAATCATCCTCATTGCTCCTAGCTTTCCCTCTCCAACCAATCGAGGCCGATTTAGTAAGTTCCCGAAATTGAACCAACGATTCCAAATGCGTCTTTACCGATTTCACAATCAAATACCCTGAAGATCTGCACAAGGAACTGATGCTCTTCAAGCACTGGAATAACTCACTCCAATCTTTCTCCTCTTGCCAAATCGACACATCTCGTTTCTCTAACACTCTGCATCACCTTCCGCTTGTGCACATTAAACTCCAACCTGCTGCTCCTTAGCCCCTCTACTTAACCTCTCCAGATCCCTTTCAAAGTCATCAGTCTCCTGCAGACCAGTCACCTGAAGGAGGATGGCTGGGGATTTGAGTGTGGGTGCTAATCGCTAATATCTCGGTTATCTTCCCTATAATTACAGACGGTGGAAGTTTACACCTTCCACAAGCTTCACACAGAGCATATGTAAACAAATAAAATAAGACAGCCGGTTATACTCAGAGGGGTGGCTACGTTCCTAAGGTTACAAGGGGATACCAGCATTGGTGGGTGGCTGATAGTATTGCAGAAACAACTAATTGTTAGTGAAGCACTGGGACTGGTTCAGGCTTGTAAGAAAATCTCTCACTGAATCACAACAAGCAATTAGAATTTTTTTTGAAAGAAAACTCGATTAAAATCACTTTTTAAATAGCAAACACTTCAAAGGAATTATGATGAGAAAGAGAACAGCTTTTTTCCTCCTCTCCAATGACCTTTGAATATTTGTAAATTTGAATAATTTTGCTTAAAACAGCGAGTGGGAGGGATTACCGAGGCTAATATGGCGAGGGGATTGAGTCAGCACAGAGACATGCTACGCTGGACATGACAGGAATGCAAATACATACCAGGATTAAATGACTGCAATCTAATGCAAGGCATGTTATTCCTCACACTGTACTGTCAAATAAAAATGTGCCATAGCTTGATTCAACCACAGCAACCAATTACCACACTTCACAATAGCCAGTGCAGCAGTACAAAGCTACAGTTGTCAGGAAAGAATAAAAGAATTCCACCGTACAGATTAGAACACGGCAGTCTGGAAACTCTCAAGGTAGTAGTACATCTCAGGGTTAAAATCATCCTGTTAAATCAAGAGCTTTGCTATCAGACGTTAGGGTATCCTTACCATAATCCCACATTGTTCCCACCATGGGTGCTATCCCTCAGACCTCTGCTAATGCTAATTCTATTCCTTCAGCGCTGCTTCCCTCAGCGATTCCTCCCTGCGAGTTTCCAGCACCCGATCAGGCCCACTGGTGACCAAAATTCAAATCGAGAAGAATTTTGTTCAGGCCAAGGTCATGAGAAATAAATTTCAGACCTCCAGCACTACAAAACCCCACTCCCTCTCAGGCGAGAGATGGGAATAACTGGGGGGGAAGTGAGAGAAATGGACGGCCTGCCTCACCTTGGGATCCAGGTTGTCGGTGATGATCATGGACTTGCCTAGGCTGAAGCGCTTGTTTAATAAGCCGTCGTTCCGGTTGCGCAGACGGACTTTGCTGCTGCCGTGCTCCGCCGTGCCCAGCATTTCTGTGGAGGCGGCTCGCGGGAGACTGAGAGAGTCCCGCGCAGGAGAGTCTCGCTTCTGGAAAACAAAAAGGACGATAACAATAGTAATAATGTAATAATAATCCTTGCATTTGATATAGAGCCTTATCACATCTTCTGAGACGTCTCAAAGCGCTTCAGAGCATATACTGTCAAATGGATTGATTGTATATTTTGGGGGCAAAATGCGGCAGCCAGTTGCGCACAACAGCGTCCCACAAACAGTCGTGGATTGAGTGACCAAATGATTATCATTTTATTTATTTGTTTAGATCATGAGCAGTAAATTTCACGAGAAATATACTTTCTCAAGGTCATGAGAAATAAATTTCAGACCTCGAGTGCTACCAAAAAGCCGCTCCCACTCAGTAATGAATGATAATGAATTCGACAGCCTAACAATCCACTGTGTGAAGAAATTCCTTCTAAACGCTCCTCTGATTCCTATGCCAACAATCCTGAGACTGTGCCCGCTTGTCACCAATTGCTCTTGCCGAAGCACACGGTGAGTTCCTGATCTCAGCTGTACTGTCATGTGGAGATGCTGAGCGAAGGCCATGGAAGATGGGAACGAGATTCATGCTATAAGACTGGCAGGTAGTTCCCAGCAGCTGGCAGGAGCGCAGCACTGAGCGAGAGAGACCTGGGAATAGTTCACCTACAGCTTCTGACGGGACTTTCCCTGTCCTCTTCCTCATTCAGCTGCACATTTTCTTTTCTCCTAGGTCCCTAGTTCGAATCTCAGTGAAAGCACACCAGTACTTTTCCCTTTCAAGTTGATAAAACAAGTTTCATTGAAAAGAAACCTAGGCAAGCAAACAAGGTCTTCCCAGCTCTAAGGAGACATGGGTGAAAAGTCCAGGAAGCTCTGCTGTAAATCCAAAGCATTGGTAAGCACTCTCCCCTCGCTCGCCTGACCGGGGTGAAACCTTAGACAAGTTTCTCTGCTCCACACGCCTCTGTTTACCTAGCAGTAAGTAGGAACCCAGTTGTTAGTCGGTTGATGGATCGATTTACGGGAGTAATAATCCCCCTCCAAAAAAAGGGTGGTCACTCAATTCACGATTGTTTGTGGGACGCTCTTGTGTACAATTGGCTGCCACGTTTTGCCCACAAAATACAGTCAATCCACTTTACAATACATTCTGTGAAGCACTTTGAGACGTCTTGTAGACGTGTTAAGGCGTGATATCAAATGCAAGGCAAGGATTATTATTGTTATTATTGGTGATGATGACCAGTCCTTTCTGTGTCATTGTGAGATTTGGGATGTCAACACATCCTCAAGACTGTGAGCTTAAACCCTAATGGTTCAGTGGTGGATAAGACAGCACAGCAAATATACCAGTGCTTCACAGGGAAATACAGCACGACCGGAGTCACATTACACATTACAGAGAGGCAAAAGAGGAGAAAGCATCGAAGGAGTTAAAGTAAAGTACAAAACAGGAAATAAGCTCCAACTCATTAAAATTCGGTCTATTTAGATCCTGGAGATGTCAGACATCGGACGTCACAAACTTACTCATTCAAACACAACCTGATAGAGGATCCTCAAAAGATATTTCATATATTGTGAAAGGGAAAAGCCATGCAGAACACTAATCAGATGGTGAATGCATGCGATGTTTCAATTGAATTCCTGGCAAGTGTCTCACGCAGAATTTCAAGAATTTCTAAATTCAATGGCTACAAATATAGCAGAATAGGTATATAATAGATAACTTTTCACATAGGAAAATCTCTCAAAGTGCTTCAAACAGGGACGGCACAGTCCACCAAGACACTTGTGTGTGTGTGTGTGAATGAGGGAGAATTGATCTGGAAGGTGCTGGAAAGTACGCTCAAGAAGGTCGTTTTTTTTAGAAGGGTTTTTGAGAGTTAAAGGCAGAGCAATCTGTGCATGTATCAGGTCGCTTTGTGCACATGCAATGCATGGCTGGGTTTGGCAAGGCTCAGTCACGACAGGAAATAGACTGAGTTGATTAAGGCCATTATGAATCTGCCCAAATGATTTGCAGCAAACAACACGACCTTTGAAGGCGGGTGGTGTTCGAGAAGAAAGGCTCTTGCAGGATTCCTGACTTATGAAGGAGAGACGCACCGTAAATGGTCAGTCATGCTGTCCCTTTGAGTGAGGAACCTTGTGTGACAAACTGGGTATTTCAATAAAAAGCTACAATGGCGTCAGAAATAGCTTACTGAACGGAAGGAATTTGGGATGAGATCCAATTATTTCCCATTGGGATATCCTCCAAACTCAAGTATAAATGAAGCATTTAGGAAGGCGTAATTAGAACATTCGCTATAAGGTGCATATTGGAAGTGAGAACCGAAACCATTCGTTCACATAGGGTTGGGAGGATGTGGAAATGAATGCACTGTCTAGAAGCTCGACGATACAGAATATATTGAGATATTTAAAAGTGAGGTAGAGGGATACTTGGGAAGTAAGAGTGTTAAGGGAATTGGATATATAGTTGAAAAAAGGAAAATTGCAAGGATATGGGAAAGAGTGGGGGAGTGGGACTAGTTGGTAGCTCTTTAAAAGAGCCAGCTCAAGCACAATTGGTCGAACGGCATCCTTCTGTGCTGTAGGATTCTATGATATGGAGAAATGTCAGGGAAATAGAATTAAAAGATCTCCCACCATCTCATAATAAACAACAACTTGCATTTATAATATAGCAGCACAAGCTCAGTTTGAATTACGTCCTCCTGTTCCCAAGTACTTCTTTGGGTTAGAAGGTAATGGATAACTGGAATAGCTTATCAGGAAGGGAGGGTGACAGCAGGGCATCGGGACTTATTTAAGAAATAACTCGATTCTGTTATTGGAAGAAACAACAACAAATTACATTTATATTGCGCCTTTCACGTCAGAAGGACGTCCCAAGGCTCTAGAGGATGGGTTAAATAAGGTGGAGGCCCTGATTCACCCTACTGTCTCTGGTGATCAGTTGTAGGACAGTTTCTTTTCCCCAAAACTGGAACTCTCTCCCCCAAAAGGCTGTGGATGCCAGATCTATTCAAATTTGTAAGACTGAGGTGGATAAATGTTTGTTACGTCAGGATATCAAGGGATTATGGTGCAAAGATGGGTAAATGGACTTGAGGTACAGAGCAGCCATGATCTAATAGAATGGTGGAACAGGCTTGAGGGGCTGAATGGCCTACTCCTGTTCCTAGAGAATCAATTTAAATCACTATCATTGAGGCAACACTGATACCCACCCCCTCCACCACCCCTAGCTGTCTGTGTAACCAGCCACAAGCACAAGGCATCATCTTCAGATGGGGTACAAAATAAATAATAAATAATAATAATCCTTGCATTATGATAAAGCACTTTTCATGTCTTCTCGACGTCTCAAAGCGCTTCACAGAATAGACTGTAAAGTGAATTGTGGGCGAAACGTGGCAGCCTATTGCACACAGCAGTGTCCCACAAACAGTCATGGATTGAAAATGACCAATTTATTATTGTTTTGTTTTGGAGGGATTATTATTAGGCGTAAATAATAATCAGATAGAATAAATGAAAGAAATATTTTTATAAAACCCACAGACTCGAGGGAATCATTCTGAAGTTTACAAACTGAGTATTGCACAAGCAGAACTTGGTTCTCAGACTCAGCAGCCCTTCACCTCTCCCCAGAGCATATTCACTGAACAGCCTTAGAGAAGTGGGCTTGCACACAGAAACACAGTGTCATCATAGTGTCACCACAAAACAGTAACTCCAAATAATGCGATGAAATAAAAACCTATCTTTGAGAAAAACAGATAAGAGAATCTAACAGAAGAGCTGGGAACTTGGAATTAAAAAGAAATCCAAAACCAACCACATCTTCTGAAAATTCCGAGCCCATTATACTCCATCCAAAATTTATAACTTTATTATTATTAGTTGCAAATAACAAGTATTTACTGAGGTTCTTTACCTGCAAAGCGTCCCCATTCTTCTTGTCTACCAACGGTTGCATGAAATGATTGTAGGAAGACGAGCTGCCGGGAACTCGTTGAACGGTAGAGCAATCAGGGGGAGGTGTGTGGGACTGTAAAACAGGTTGTAGAAGCTAGTCAGAAGGAGCAGGAAGGGACAGTTCTGCAAGTTACTTCCTTATCAACTAGACAAATTCGGCAAAATGTAAAGTGTTAAAAGTAGACTGACAAATCAACATGCATTATTTTCCTCCTCTCAAATTTGCTTCCTTCCTGTGCAATTCCTAATGGACTTCCTCAAGATTGGTTTCTTCCACTGCTATTTCTTCTCCCTATCGCCCCCACCTTCCCACTCAATATTTCTATGACTTCTTGGGCTCCCTCGGTTTCCTCGCCCAAGTGACTACTATTCATACATCGGCATGGGCAGGGTATTCAACGGTGGATGGCATCACAGCCAAGCCCAATCCGCACCCCACCCCCGTATACACAGTCCTGCCAAGTCCCTGTCAACCAGGACTTGGCAGACCATCAATGGATAGCAATCAGGAATAGAAAACTCTGGCTGACCTTCCCCTCACTAATTCATGCCACAAGTGCTGAGATGAAACTGTCATCATAAAAACGTAAGTGCATAAGAATTCGCTAGGCAAAAGAAGACCAAGGTCCATCTAGTTCATCAGTCTCTTGCCATGTTGTATCACATATACTGTATATACATATACTGCATCCCGAGATAATATTTTCTAGTAGAAACCTATCTAATTTGTTCTTGAAACAAACACCACTTTCTGCTTCCACCATCTGTCTTTCCAGGGAGCCTATTCCATGTATTTACTACTCACTCACTGAAGTAGTGTTTCAGCAGATTTGTTATGAATTTATCCCCCTTCAATCGCAGGCCATGTCTCTGGTTCTACTGTTCAGTACAAGATAAAATAGCTTATTAAAGTCTACATTACCTATTCCTTTCAGAATCTTAAAGGACCCTCAATCTTCTTAAGTGTGAACATGTCCAGTTTATCGTCACATACGCCATAGATCGAAACTACAAGTGTTCAGCCTGCATGGGTTAGTGTCGTAGTGGACAGTGCACTTAACCACTGAGCCACAAAAACCTCTTAAAATAACATTAATATTTACAATAATTGCACCATTGCCAACCTGCTACCAGACACCTGCTGATCCGCTCAGTAACCAGCAATGGTTAGAAATTGTGCCAGGGGCCATCAAGGAATTTGCCACTGTTAAGCGCTCTGAGACGCTACCCTGCATGGAGGGCGCTATATAAGTGCAAGTTGTTGTTGTTCAAATCTCTCTCTTTTTACTTCCGAACCAGCCTGGGTGAGAGGGTGGGAATTCAGTGAGTGAAACTGTGCCTGTGCCTCCACATCCTGCACACGCACAATGTCCCCAGACTGTGTTGCGTCCTCCAGATCCCCCTCACCAACATCCCTCAAAAAAAGGGATGCAAGACTTCCAAAGCTATCAATCGACTCAGGAGCTTCCACTTGCCTAACAGAACATATCCTCTGTAGAACACCATATTTTGCAGGATCAGAATACTGGGTATATTGACCAGACCGGAAGAGGAAACTCACTTCCTTATTTTTATGTAGAAACAAAATGCAGAAATATTAAAAAAAATATTTTCACAATTTGATGCAACCTTAAATTTTAAACACAAAGTGGCACGGACGAAGACGAGGTGAAATTTTAGGCCTGTTGTCACCTTTTTTTTTAAGTGTATTGATAGACTCATACATTATTTTGTATTTAATTTAGTGACAATTAGCTGCTGCTGGCTGTGCAGGAATCTTCTCTCAGAAATGAGCCTCAGTTTTGAGATTGTTTTTGTAATGAATTTGGAAAATGAAAACTTAAGTTTAAAAGAAAGATTATAATTGTTTTTCTGAGCTAAAGCACTTCTTATATGCTGTTCATTTCAGGCGTCTGGTTCTCTGTGTGTCAGTTTAGTGCAGTGATAGCAACAACTTGCATTTATATATAGCCCTTCACGCTGGGGTAGCATCCCGAAGCACTCAAGAAGTCAGAAGGTTGAGGGTAGAAGCCCCACATAAGGATTTGGAATCACATAATCTAAGCTGATGCTCCAATGCAGCGCTAGGGTTTTGTCGGAGGTGCCATCCTTCAGATGAAACGTTAAACCGAGGTCCCGTCAACCGGTTCAGGTGGATGTAAAGATCCCATGGCACGATTCGAAAAGAGAGTTTTTCCCAGTGTCCTGGCCAACAATCTCTCAAATAAAATTGGTCCCTCACTCCGTGGCTGTTTGTGGAATGTTGCTGTGTTCAAACTGGCTGCTGCATTCACCCATAAAATACAGTCATTACACTTTGCAGTATATTCTGTGAAGCGCTTTGATACGTATCAACGACGTAATAAAGCGCTGTAACAAATGCAAGGATTATTACTAATATTAATATACAAATATATTTTCTTTCTCTGCAGTTAAAACCTTTGCCCACCCTTGCCATTCGGTTCCGAGCTCGTCGTGGTGGCTTCCAGGTCTTCTCCTTGGTGACGGTGTTGAAGTAGAAGTTACGGTCGGTTGCTGGATCCACGTGTCGCTCCCAAAGGTCAAGGACCTGCACTGGGGGGTTGATGGGATTGGGTGGTTCCAGGTGAACCATTCTTAGCTCCTCCAGGTTAGTGTAAACGGGGGAGTCCGACCTGCCTGCTAATTCAACGACCGATTCGGTGGTCTGTAAAACAAAAGTCCAAAACGACAGCAAGTCACTTTCAGCTTCCAATTCCAGATTCTGAAATCACTGACTCAACTGACTCATGAATAAAAATGGTTTATTTTTTAAAAAAATTTCCACTTCACTCCATCTATCATGCTTTAGGTTTTCCCTTGTTAACCGTCAGAGGCAGACCTCGGGCCTTCAACAATAACTTACATTTACGCAGTGCCTTCCATGATGGGAGGACATCCCAAGGTGCTGAAAGTCAAGAATTTGCAACTGAGCTGGGGTTTAGGATCAGGAGAGATGGAGGGCAGGGAGGTAACTTCACTAACATAGTCTCCATTCCAACAGGTAGGCCCAGCAGAGATAAATAAGCAGAGGTATCCTATGTGGCAATAGGAAAATATCTCCAAATATTAAACTGACTGGACACTTCACAAGTCTCAAATTAGCCTATTGTCAGTATCACAAGGGGTGAGATGAGTCATGTACCACAATCTGGGGTGTCATTTGAGGTGCACATGACATTTAGCACATCTAATGGTTTAGAATTAGACCTCCCCCCCATCCTTCTTCTCAATGAGCGAGTGAGACACACAAATCGAGGAGACTGAGAGAACGGGTCACTAATAATAATAATAATCATCCTGATCTTCCAGTTAGCATTTTTTAATTCTGAATTGCAGTTTCTAATTTTACTAAAACAAAAAAGTCGTTTAGCTCGCGTTACAAGCAATCAAGCCTCCTGCACAGAAAAAGCACTCCGATTAGTACGATGTTTTTTTTAAAACACACGGCTGACCTGCCCAATTATTTCAACATTTTTTTTGGGGGGGGGGAGGAAGACACAGAAATGAGGACACAATTCTGATTGAACAAACTCCACTCTGCAAATGACTAACTTACAATTTGCAAACAGATGATAAAAACGCATCAATAACCCAAGAATAATCACTATCACTCTACCATAAGAATCAACTCAGAGTCTTACCCAAGAAACAAGGCCAGCCTTTTGTGAAGTGAGCATTTCTACTGTATTCTGAGAAAGAATGTAGTCGCACTTTCAGTGAGAAATTAAAACTTTGCAGATCTGCTTCGGAACCAGTGGATTTGGTGCATTTCATGTCTTGTGAAATAGCCTCTAAGAATGAAACAGAACCTCTACCACCTGTGGTTCATCTTTAAAACTCACTTTAGCAGATTAGATCACACCAAAAAGGAAATTTGCAAATATCTTCCGGTTTCAGCAAGCTATTTCTCAACAGTGCCAATGTCACTGTACATCCTCTTTTCTTGCTTCACTTAAGCCAATCAGGCCAAGAAAGTCCAGTGCTATTGCTCCTTTCACTCAATCCGCTCATTTCCCATGCACAGATTGGCCATGGGAACTCTCAGTCACCATACAACAACAACTTGCTGCTCCATATAATTCTCGTCACTCCCTCTGCAAATCTCTCACTCTGAAAGTTGTTGAACTCAATGAACGAGGAGTGTAAAGCATTCAGGTGCCCCACATTTCCAGTCTGTGGTTCCTGGGTATTATTCATATAAAAAAAACAGACTGCTTCTAAGATGTCAGCTGCTACAGGAAATTCCCGAGCTCGTCTCTCACATCCCACAGCTACAGATTTACACCAGGAAATTAAGAAAGGCAATTAAGGGAGGCCCTGCAGCAGAATACCACAAAACAGAGTTCTTCCCACTAAGCATGGGTACAGTTGAGAAGTCCACCTTAATAAATGACATTGCAGTGCTGGCTGTGTATCACAAGTCAGATCATCCAAGGTCTAAAATACCACAGAGTTCGATTTCCTACACATACTTCCTTCCATAGGGAGGAACAACAACAACTTGGATTTATATAGCGCCGTCCACGTCGGACGGCGTCTCAGAGCGCTTCACAGTAACGGATCCCGGGGTCGAGCCAGTGGGAGGGGGAAGAAGGTGACCAAAGGCGCAGTCGAAAAGAAAGGTCTTCAGCCGAGACCTGAAAATAGGAAGAGAGGGCGCAAGGCGAAGGGAGTGAGGAAGGGAGTTCCAGAGCCCACAGAGTCCACTATTGGCCATGTTTACCTTCAGTGTGGGAGACGGGAGCATCTATCTCGCTCACTTGTTACCTCTTACATGGATGTGCGTGTTCTACAAAGTGGGTCTGATGTCCAACAAACCAAAGTCAGTGCCGTGGATAAAGGGAGGCAGGTTAAATAACCACAGACATAGCACGCATGCGTATTACAAGCCGTTCCTTCACTCTTTTTATACAATCCATCAGACGTTCTTTTCTAGACAGGAGAATACATTGGCCTCGCCACTAAAGGTGAAGCAGAAACAAAAGCTAAAATGAGGGACAAAGATAGTTGTCCCTATAGAAACAAGCACAAACAGGGCCCGACTTCCCCTGCATCAACATCTCTGAATATTGATGAGTGACATAAATAAGAAACCAACAGGAAGCAGCATCAAACTGGGTGTGATGAACCTACAAAAGCCTCAGTCAGAGAGGCAGTTTCTCTCAATTCTCTGCACTTGTTCACATACATATATATATTTTATATTTGAACTCAGTTTAGGCTAACATTTCAGTGCGGTGCTAGGGTTGTGCTGCCTTGTTGAAGACTTTAAACCGGGGTTCAGCTCAGTCTCTAGTTTCTCCTGGTGTCCTGTCAAACACCCCCCGCCCCCACCAACCCCCTCCAAAAAATGGTTATTCACTTCATTGCTGTTTGTCGGACATTGCTGTATGCAAATTTTCTGCTGTCTTACTCATTAAAAATACAAGACACAGCCACTACACTTTATAGTCATGTGAAGCGCTTTAAGATGTCCTCATGACATGAAGGGCACCATATCATGTGTAAGGAGTATTGTTATGATTTCACATATGCTTCTCACTTATAGTTTCACCAAGTTGCATTTATCAATTACTGTGTAATCTGAGATGCTTAGTTGTTAAAGGCAGTTTTGTACAAATAATTGAGCTGTAGGTCTTATTGCCCCGTCAAAAATAAAACCACAAGAATGGAACAAACGTTTCTGGTTTGGCTCTGAGCCTCTGTCAGTTGAGTATGTTGTTGTGGTGAAGCACATATGCATCCTGAAGCAGAAAACACCCTCATATTTCGGCTTACTCTCCATGCAAAACAATTTACTTCTGAAACTCTGCCTGAGGTACACACACGCACGCATGCACACGCACACACGCTTGCATGTGGTGTCCTCACATCCACACCCTGCAGACACATTTACACACGTACATGCTTGCGCACAAACACTCCATGACAGAACTTTTAAAACATGTATATTGTTTTCAAACTGATGAAATGCAAGGAACAATCTTCCATTCTTTGCACCAAGGACAGGTTAGGTATGACACAGGCAACATTAAAAGTAAATCGCCTTCCTATTTCTCCCATTCAAACATTCCTAGGTCACAATTTAGATTAAAGCTTCTTCTGCGAGGTCCTATCCAACACTTCCAGATCAGGTACAATCTACTTGCTACTCGGCGGAAAGCAATACAGCCTCTAGTCATTGGAAGCAGGAAGATTTCTATCCCTGTTTGCTTGCACTCTTGGCTGGGAGCTGAGAAGAGTTCCTTATGTCCACAGAACACCCTTAGTTAAGGGACCATTTCTGAGCAGAGCACGAATCGATCACATTAGAGTGTAGACTATAGTGATGTGTATTGCTCTGTTAAAACCACCACATCAGGTATCAGGTTCCAGCGAAACCCGCTTTCAAATTCGATCAGTCAACCTCAATTCACATTCAACTGAGTGTGGCAGTGTAAACTGGGCCTGAAGAATTTCAGAACACAGAAGGCCATTTGGACCATCAAGCCAGCTCTCTTAAAAAAAAACCTATCAATTTAGTCCCGTTGTCCTGCTCTTTCCACACACCCTTTTACATTTTTCTTTTTCCAGTATTTCTCCAAATCCCATTTAAAACCGATAAAGGATTCTGCTTCAACCGCTGCCTTTGGTAGGGCATTCCGTGTCCTGGTAACCCCCTCTGCGTAAAAAAAAATTCTGCCCCACTACGGTTGTTGCTCACACCTCACTCGTGATTTCACCATCCTTGACGTTCTTGTCCCAATTTATCACATGGGTCCAACCTTTTTCATTTTATTATGATTCAACGATAGGATGTCCTCACTTACCACAGGACTCTCCTGTACACGTGATTCTGGTTTTGCCACACGGATGCTCGCGAAGTTCCTTTCAGTGACGGACGACCCATTCCTTCCAACTTTCTCATGTGGGTTTGGTCGCAGCAGATGGATGCCCCTACCTCTGCTGCTCTCAATTCGGTTTATGCTTGAAGAGACTGTCCTTGCATGGTTTCCTTCCCATAAACAGTGAGCAAGCTGTGGTCCTGTGTTGCGAGAGCTCATTGTATATTTTAAGGCTGCTGCTGAACTAGGAGCTGGCCACGTCCCTATAAAAAGCAAAGGGAAACAGTGGGTGTCAAGAGTACAGGACCACACTGCGGTAAAGCATGTTGCAACACCTTGCCCCGTAGGAATTTACTTTTAACTTCCAACCATTGTTCTCTTGAACTCCCCTCCAAAATCTCTGCACCTCGCACCCTCCCTCCTTACTTGACATTCCACATTAATAATAATAATAATGCTTGCATTTGATATAGCACCTTATCTCATCGTTCAGATGTCTCAAAGCGCTTCGCAGAATATATTGTAAAGTGGATTACTATGTATTTTGACACGCGCACAGCATTGTCCCACAAACAGTGGATTGAGTGACCAAATACTTAGAGGGGATTATTACTCCCCAGAAAGCAATCCGCCAATCGTCTAACAACCAAGTTTCTACTTACTGCTAGGTAAACAGAGGCGTGTGGAGGAAGGAAACTTGGAAAGGTTGCACCGCGCCCAAGAATCAAATCTGGGTCCTCTCGCTTGTGAGGCGAGTGCTCTTAAACACTGAGCTATAGGACTCCATAATCCATCTCTTTAAGGCATTTTGAGACGATATCCTTTGTGAAAGGTGATACTGTACACAAATGCAAATTCTTCTTATTGTTGACTAACTCAGGGATTCTCTGACCCTCTTGCTCTCCCTCCCAGCTTAACTCTTCCCAGAGCAAGAAAATTCCATTCTGGTTTTCTCACAAACACTAGGCTGCATAAGGCCATAAATTAGAAGTTTCTTTTCCTTTCAAAACAATAGTATGTCAATACACACGTGAAGCTCACCCTACCCAAGCCTACTTCTCCTCCAGCTGCGATTCCCAGTCAGCTTGTTGGACGGACATCAAGGCCTGGATGAGCACAAATTTCTTGCAGCTGAATGTCAGCAAGACGGAAGCCATACTCTTTAGCTTCCGTCAACATCTTTTCTCCTGCGGGCCTGAACTCGTCAATCTCCCCAGGCTCTCCCTCAGACTCACCGAACCCTTGCACTATTTAGGCATCAGGCTCGATCCCCAGCGTTTTTTTCTCCCCCACATCCATTCCCTGACCAGGATTGCTTTTTTTCCACCTCCGTCATATTGCTCGCCTCCATCCATACCTCACAACCAACGCAGCCAAAATCCTCATCCTAGTCACTTCCCAGCTAGACTATTCCAACGCCCTCTCGTTGGTTTCCCCAGCTCCACCATACACATAATTCAATTAATTAAAAACTCCGCCGCCTGGATAGTCACCCCCATAAAATTATGTACCCACAGTCCTTGCCAGGCTCTGCTGGCTCCCAATTACCGAACGGATCAAATTCAAGATCCTCTCACTCGTTTTCAAATCAGTTCATGCCCTCGCACCTCCCTACCTATCTGATCTGCTTACCCCCATTCCACTACCCGCTGTCTCTACTCAGCTGATCCTGGCCTCCTGTTTGTCCCTTAGTCCCTCCGCTCCACCATCGGTAGCCGTGCCTTCATCACAACACCCTGAAATTTTGGAACTCTCTACCTCAATCCCTCCGCCTTGCCCCCTTCCTCCCCACTTTCCCCCCCTCCCCCTGGCTGGGTGTCAGATCCTGCCACTGTCAAGCGCTCTGGGACTCTACCCTGCGTAAAGTGTGCTATATAAATGCAAGTTGTTTCTGTTCTTGTACTTCACCAACAGATCATTTCCTACCTTCTTGAGTTTCAACTATATTCAGTTGAAGATACTGAAAATGTTCTACAACAACAAAATTATATTTGTTTAACGCCTTTCGCATCGGGAGGACATCCCAAGGCACAGGACAGACAGAGTTTCAGACCCGATCTGGGGATCGGAGAGGGTGGAGGGCAAGGGGGGAAGCAGGGAGATTGAAAGCATGGTCGAAGAGGAGGGTCTTGAGATGGATCTTTAAGGAGGGGGCGAGGCAGGGGGACTGCGGGATGGAGTTCCAGAGGGTGGGGGCAGAGTGGCAGAAGGCCCGCCCACCAATAGTGGGGCGAGCAAGGCGGGCAGTGTGAAGCAGGCAAGAGCCCACTGAGCGAGGGGGAGCAATACCATGGAGGGCTTTGAAGGTGAGGACCAGGATCTTGAACTGTTTCCTCTGTGTGATGGGAAACCAGTGGAGTTGGGCGAGGATGGCAGTGATAAGGTCACGGAGCCTGGTGCAGGAGAGGACGCTCTAGTCTATTGAGATACAAAAATTGGGTCTCAAACCCCAACCCCCCCAAAGCATAAATAATAATAACAATAATTGAGTTACTCAATCCATGACTGTTTGTGGGACACTACTGTACTCAATTGGCTGCTGCGTTTCGCCCACACAGTCAATTCACTTTACAATATATTCTGACATGAGAAGGTGCTATATCAAATGCAAGGATTATTATTATTATTATTTGATCCCTACCTGAAAACTCAACTCCTGATTTGCTGGTACATTCGGCTGGAGTGGCTCTCAGGCTCCCAGTTGTTCCAGGCGGCACTTCAAGAACGTACTTAGCAGGCACGTAGATTGGCTTCACTTTCTTCGGCTCCCCTTGCCTGCGGACCTGCCACCAGTCTTCGTTTGATTTCTGGAGCAGAACAAATTGGTCCCCTTCCGAGATCTGGATCAGTCTGCCATCAGTGGCGATGTATTGATAATAGTACAGGGCCTGAAGAAGTACAGTGCCTTGAGGGACAGGCTGCTGCCCCAGCCTTCCTCCACTTCCTGTGAACATTTCAAATGATGAGGGTTCTCAGACACTTCCACTGGTGGGGCAATGCACTCGAGGGACCCATTTCCTGGAATACACACAAATTAACAACCACAGTTTGCATATGATAATAATAATACTTACATTTGATATAGTACCTTATCACGTTGTTGAGACAACAACAACTTGCATTTCTATAGCACTTTTCACGCAGGATTTACTGTAAAGTGAATTGACTGTGTATTTTATGGGCAAAACATGGCAGCAGTGTCCCACAAGCAGTTGTGTAATACATTGGCACTGGCAGTAACTTAGATAGCATTAGATAGCGTTTACCATGCTTGAACTCACCCATGGTATGTTGCAAACTAAGTGGGGTTTGAGCTTCCGTTTGACACCAGCCAAAGGCATCCCATTCTCTTAACCATCTCCCACTCAGAACAGCTGGAGCAGACATGACACTATTCCCTATAACTACTGGGAAGGGCTTGGTAGAATTGACAGATTTGGTTTACAAAACTGCACAGAACAAATGAATAATTATGCAGCAATGCAGCAGTGTGAAGCAAAGGGTGTAAGTGAGAGAGGCACCAGCTGGTGGGAGATTAAAACAGTCAACTGGGGAATTCAAGATCAGGTGGGATGGATGGAGGCAAGAAATAGCATACAATTTTCAGAATTGGAGCTTGACATCTCAATAGAAGCAGCAGCGCTTAATGCAGAGCTGAAGCCTTTCACACAGCTTTAGCTTTGGTTTCATCACAAGGTAAACCTTTGGGTGTGGAATTTGAAATTTGAAAAGAAGATATTTTGGAAGTTCCCTTGGGTCTTCCTGCGCGAATGCTTTAACAACGACAAATTATTATAATAATCCTTGAGTTCATATAACGCCTTATCACTTATTCGAGACGTCTCAAAGCGCTTCACAGAATTTATTGTAAAGTGAATTGACTGTATATTTTGTGGGCAATATTTGTATAGTACCTTTCACGTCAGAAGGATGTCCTGACAAATATATTTTAGAAAACACAGGAGAAGTATTTATTTCAAACACCCTGATACTCTGCATTGTATCCAAGTGTACCCCAAGTTCAAATTCACTGGCCACTCATCTCAGTGTTATTTATGGAACATTTCTGGCACAGATTAGCTTCCGTATTTGCCTATATAACAACATTCACTTCATTTCTAAGAGGCAGTTAAGCCTCTCTGCAACCTCCCATCAAATGTACAGACCAGCTAATTGACCTGAATAGCTAACTGCCCTGTGTTTAAGCTGCTTATTAATATCCTATTACATTGGAGTTTCAAGTTTATTAAAATCTGTAACAAGCTACATCACATGATAGAAGCCTTTTGCTTCAACAAAGGATTGCACCATATTGCTTCATAATTTAATAATCATTTCAAATTATATCGGGGTAAGGTTGATTGGCAAGAACTAAATTTTTAGGAAGTAGTACACAGGTCGTAGTAGTAGGTCTTTTCTTCTATGAAGAAACTAATAACATTGATGTATTTAAGGGGAAGCTAGATAAGTACATGAGGGAGAAAGGAATAGAAGGTTATGCTGATAGGCTTAGTTGAGTAAGGACAGGAGGAGGCTCATGTGGACCATAAACACCGATATAGACCAGTTGGGTCAAACGGCCTGTTTCTGTGCTGTCTATTCTATGTAATTCTATGTAATACTCTGACTTCACGTACCACGATAAGCTTTGAATCACATCCCTTTGGGAGAAAGTGTCGTCAGTGCTGAATCACTCCATCAGGGTCACCCAGGTACTGCCTCACTGAGTCACCAGCCAACCGACTGCCCAGGGAATGAGAACAGTTTTCCTTCCCAAGTGTGGTTGAGATCACGCATTCATTCCCAAACCTGGTACTAACCTCAAACATCAGGTCTCCTTGGAGATATGATGTGATGGATAGAATTCAACAAAGAAGTGGAGGATTTTTTTTAAACTACGCGTAGGAGACATAAGAGGGTGAAGTACACCCACACAGCAGCATTTAGATAATTGGTGAATGCTAATGACATGGCAGAGGAAACTGATCAGCAATAGGTACTGAGCCTGAGAACTTACCATATGCACAGTTCAAATTGCACTATTAATGAAGCACCGGAGGTTAATTCTGTCCAGCTCGCTCTTGGGCTTAGTAACTGGTCAGCTAAGATCAGGAACCCAGTGGTTGCAACCCTATGTCCTATTACAGCATAGCAAAGCAGTATCCCACCTCAACACAAAGCTTTTAATCTGTTTACATTTCAGAAGTACCACATCTAATCAGAACATCGGTCACAGCAACGAGAGACTGTAACAATTACCAACTAAGTCCAAACGTGCTGCCATTTACAGTAAAATGGCACACTAAATTACCTCTCAGCACACTTGCTGCAAGAAAATCTTTCTACCTAAAAATACCAGTTAACACTCGCTTACCATGTTGGAGTCACAGCACAGCACCGTTTATGTGCTCATTTCATCTGTTCCTTTGATAAGCAATCAGCAGTTCCTGTGAAATAGGACAAATACATGTCAGTACAAGAGAGTACAATCTTCAGTAGGGCACTGACCTCATTCACCTCCAGAACTTTCCATTCAGCCCTTTGGTGAGAGCTGTGCATTTCCTGAAAGAACATTTAAAGCACAGCATCACTTGCTTTGCCCTGTAGGGACATTCCAAGTTTGAAGCCTGACATGGGCACAAGTGGTCTTGAGGTGACTTGTCCTCATCCCGTCTACCTGGGAAGCATCTACATAGCAGCCACAGCCAAGATCAGGAAGTCCAGATGCAGACCTCCCCCTCCTGTTCCAAACCACGCTTGGAACATACTTGAACCTAAAAGGCTTTCAATAGGCAAGTTTTACCTGAGGGCAACTGGCACCTGTGGAACCGCAGTCTGTGGCATCACCTTCGGAGGAGAATGGGAAAAATAATGCTGGATCATTTAACAATAATCAACTAAGCTGTCACTTTTCCTCCTCGCTGACCAGCACAATGGTTTTCTGCTGCAAAATCATTTCAACTTTTCAACGACAGCACCAAAACGGATCATTACCAAAGAGGCTACCTTTGTGATAGTTTATGATAAAACTAACGGCAGAGGAAATGAACTAAATTACTTGTTTCCTGTCGCCCCCCCCTCCCCCCACGCTTACAACAAAATATGATTAGAAGATGGAAAGCATAGAAAGAGGAAAGGCCGTTCGGCCCATCAAACCCACTCGAGCCACAGCCCGCACAGTACCATAGTATAAGCAACCCACAGCCTCTGCTGATGCTAGCTCCTTTAAAGAAGCAATCGACTCTAAACCCAGTTCCCTGCACCCTCTCATATTCCTCCTCTTAAAATACTTATCCACCCACTCCACCTGTGGGGGAATGTTCTGCAGATTCTCCCTGATCCCAAAGGAAATCAGGCTAAAATACACTGGAATAATCATCCGCCCCCACTACTTCTGCAAGGTAGGTATGCATTCCTGCAGACAATATTTCCGTTTCTCTCAGCTGCACAGAATACAATATTTGTTCGTCGAACTCAAAATGATTGCAAGGGGTCCTACCGACATGAAAGGCGCTATATAAAATTAAACTATTGTTATCAACCCTTCAATACTCTTCACAAGCGGATACACAGTATATCTAGTTATTTTTTGAAGGGGTTCATTAGCCCAACATCAACAGCTTTTATAAGGAGTCTTCCAAAAATACACTACCCTGGAGGAAACATAGACCGCACAACTCTAAGTTTAGAATTCCATCTATTTGTACTCTTATTAGTGGCTATTGCTTGTCGTGAGAAGAAACAGGTAAAGAATGCAATAGAAAATTATTCACAGGAGTAAAATATTAGATCTGTAAATATTACTTTTTTTAACAAAAATCATATATTGGTTGGACTTCATCACAACTTCTGCCCATCTGTAAATGACTATTGGATTGACACAATAATAAATAATAATCCTTGTATTTGATATAACTCTTTTCGACATCTCAAAGTGCTTCACAGGAGATATTTATTCCAGGCAGAGGGCGAAACCTTGGGCAAGTTTCCTTACTCCACACGCCTAATAATAATCCCTCCAAAACCAAAAACAATAATAATAAATTGGTCATTTTGTGGGACATTGCTGTGCGCAATTGGCTGCCGCGTTCGCCCACAAATATACAGTCAATTCACTTTACAGTGTGTTCTGTGAAGCGCTTTGGGACGTCCTCCCGATGTGAAAAGCGCTATATCAAATGCAAGGATTATTATTATTGTATTGTAAAGTGAATCGACTGTATATTTTGTGGCCTAAATGCTGCAGCCAATTGCACACAGCAGTGTCCCACAAACAGTCGTGGATTGAGTGACCAAATTATTATTGTTTTTATTTTCTTGAGGGATTATTATTAGGTGTGTGGAGTAAGGAAACATGCTCAAGGTTTTGTGCTGCCAGGAATCGAACCCAGGTCTCTCGCTTGTGAGTGCTCTAACCACTGAGCTACAGGACTCCTACAAGATAGTGTCCATCCTTTAGCCACAGCAACCAAGAGAAACCCTTTCAGAAGTACAGCTGCACATTTGCTCCCAAGCGTGTTAGACTACTTCGCTCGGAAGACATGTCCTATACAGAGTAGGGGGTCACCAAGCAGTCAATCATTGCTAGGTGCTCAAAAAGACAGAAGGAAGGTGCCATACAATTGCAAAGTTATTTTGTCCAATTGAAAACTAAGCCAGATACTGTTTCCACTGGTGGGTGCGTTGGTATCCAGGGGACATCAATGTAAAATAATTGGCAAAAGAACCAGATGAGGAGAAATCTTTTTTACCCAGAGAGTTGTTACGGTCTGGAACGCACTGCCTGAAAGGCAATAGTAATAATAATAATCCTTGCATTTGATCTAGCGCCTTATCACTTCTTCGAGACATCTCAAAACGTTTCACAGATTATACTGTAAAGTGAATTGACTATATTTTGGGGCAGCCAATTGCGCGCAGTCATGGATTGAGTGACCAAATTATTATTTATTGATTGATTTTGAAGGGATTATTACCCCCCAGAAAGTGATCCTCCAATCGACTAACAACTGGGTACCTATTACTGCTAGGTAGACAGAAGCGTGTGGAGTAAGGAAACTTGCCTAAGGTTTCGCCTTGTTCGGGAAACAAATCCAGGTCCTCTCGCTTGTGAGGTGGGTACTCCAACCAATACGCTAACAGGACTTTATAATCGAGAAGTCTATCACTCAGTGACCGTCATGTGTGAATCCTGCTGTGAGGGGAGGGGGTAAAAGACTGGGGCAGGGGTTGAAGTGGAGAGTTTTGATATATCAATCGTCTTGCCTTAAAAAGGCAAATTATGCAGAACGACAGAATATTTCTTAAAGCAGCATCAGCACCTCAGGAGGGAATTTCAGACAAGTATAACCCTCAACATCAGCAGGACATCCTGTTCATAAAACCCCACTGACACATCACAATCGGATGCTCTCCATGTGATTATATCTACTGAAACTAAACCTTTGCACAGTAGCACCATTTTGATAATTTCATCTGACTGGTGGGCCTGTATTACCAGCCACTATCATGTTATCACTTGAATTAACCAGTTTTGCCAACTAGAAACTAGCTAGAGGATAGCTTAACAATAAGAATAACTTGCATATTTATAGTTCAAGGAACTGCCTTTACTTTTGTAATAGTGTCGCAGGATATTTAACATCCACTTGAACAGGTAGCAAGGAACACAGGTTTATCGTCTCATCCTAAGGACCACAACAGCTTGTGCCCTTCCCTTGACATAGAGTAGAGTCTTGGACACTCGGAGGACAGTATCTAAAGATTGTTTTATCACCTTTCCACTCTTAGAGACCAGACTGTACCAGCTACAGCACAGCAGACTATGCTGAAATGGATAGCACAGGAAGCAGCCAAAGATTAAAGGAAACAACCACCATTCAAAACACAGTATTACACTAACAGTTCCAATCCATTTAACTTTAGAAATATGCCTTGATCATGTTCTCAAATTCTCAGGGGCCGCAGTGTTTTCTTTAAACACCCCATCCATAAATATCACAGCAGAACTAAATTGTTTCAGAGTTCACTGTAAACATATATAAACCTTGGGGATCTGCGGACTGGAATCTTTCTTGTCCTAAAACTGCTATTTGCAGATACTTCCGATGAATAAAAAGCTGGAATCGAATGTATGCCTATTTTTCTATCACTAAAAATAATGAATTACTAAAAATTATCAACTGCAGAAAACTGCTACAAAAATGTTCTCAATGGCAGTTTTCAATCATGTAACAAAGATCCTTCAATTTGTTAAATCAGTTATGCAGTTCACCAAATTAAATAAGTTAAGAGAGTCCTTTGTGTGCTAAACACAGGAGATGAAGTGAGGAGGTAATTGGAGGAACTCAGATCCCTTTGCCTTCTTGCAGACAATTCCACAGGACATTTCCAAAAGTCCTCATTTTTTAAATGAAAAATACTTTCCAAAATTTTGAATTGGAAAGCAATTTAAAGCTGAGAATTTGAAACAGGAACACACAATGTAAACATCATGAATCGCTAAGAATTTATGCCATGTTGATAATTAAAACATTTAGTTTGCATATTTATAACAATAATTCTTGCATTTCATACAGCACCAACACTGACACATCTCAAAGCAGGTCATGGGTCATCAGTGACTGTGTATTTGTAGACAGCAACGTTCCACAAACACCATGAAGTGAGTGACAATGATATCAATAATCCTTACATTCGATATAGCATCTTTCTCATCAAGAGGACATCTCAAAGCACTTCACAGGATATAAGTATAGTGACTGTTGTAGGCAAACATGGCAGCCAATTTCTGCACAGTAATAATAATAATCCTTGCATTTGATATAGCGCTTTTCACATCTTCTAGACGTCTCAAAGCGCTTTACAGAATATACTGTAAAGTGAATTGACTGTATATTTTGTGGGCAAAACACAGTAGCCAATTGCACACAGCAGTGAGGACACTGCAGTCATGGGTTGAAGTGATCAATTTATTATTTTTTTGTTGAGGGATTATTATCAGGCACGTGGAGTAAGGAAACTTGCCCAAGGTTTCGCCCCCTCCGGGAATCAAACCCAGATCTCTCACTTGCAAAGCGAGTGCTCTAACCACTGAACTACAGGACTCCATGTAATGTCCCACAAACAGCCACAGAGGGAAGGTCCAATTTTACCTTAGGGATTGTTGGATAGGATACTGGGACAAACTCATTTTTCTTTCTAAATAGTACCGCAAAGATCTTTAACATTCAACTCAGATCAGAGATAGGGCGGAGCTCATCAGACGGTGACTTCGAACACGGCGCTCACCCCAGCTGGTACAGGGCTCAAACCCACTGAGGAGAGATCGCCATAATAATAATACTTTAATTTGGTATAGCGCCTTATGACGTCAGTAGAACGTCTCAAAGCACTTTACAGAAATAATTATTGTGAAATGGAGTGAATGTGTATTTGTAGGTAAACACGGCATCACAATTTGCGCACAGGAATGTCTCACAAACAGCCATGAAACAAATGACTAATTTTATCTGGTGGATTGTTGGCCAAGACACCGGGAGAGAGAAACTTCCTATACTACTGACCAAGCCAGGCTGACAGCTAAATGGGATTGTTCCTCTTAGAGCAGAGAAGGTTAGGGGGAGATTTAATTCATCCTGACTAGATCCAGTGAAGCACTTTGAGACGTCTCGAAGACGTGATCAGGCGCTATATCAAATGCAAGGATTATTTTATTTTATTAGATCTATTAGAATCCGTCTTTTTTGGGATACCCTTTGGTTTGTTCTGCTTAATCCAGTTCCAGTTAGGAGCCTAGAGGTTGGAACAGGAATAATATATATATATATATGCTACTGGCTGTGCAATTATATTTTAGCTGATGTAAAGAGGAGGATAATTAATGGACCACTTGCAAATAAGGTTCACAGACCATTTGCTTTTTATCATTGTCTAGTTAAACCTTGGCAGTGGAGTCCTGTAGCTCAGTGGTTAGAGCACTCGCTTTGCAAGTGAGAGACCTGAGTTCAATTCCCGGCAGAGGGCGAAACCTTGGGCAAGTTTCCTT